CTTGCTGTTTAGATGTAAGGAGATTGGAGCGTGGTCACTTATTATAATCGGATGGATTGAGGTATCTGTTATGTCCTGTATGACTGATTTACTTATGAGAAAAAAATCTATATACGGGAGAAAGAGTGATGGAGTGGTGAGAAATATGTGAATTATTTTGCTGTTAGGTTGTTAAGTCGGCAACTGTCGCCAAGTCCAAGCTCCTCCATGTATTGTACTATTGTTTCTGTGGATTTCCATTTTCTGCTTCCAGTTCCTGAGCGGTCTATTGTGGGGTTGAGGACTGTATTAAAGTCGCCTCCGATTACTATTTTTGAGTTTGTGAAGTTATGTAATGATGTAAAGAATCTGTGAAAGAAAGAGGGTTCATCTGTGTTGGGTCCATAAATATTTGCAATAGTAAAATTAGTATTGTTAATGGACGTGTTTAAGATGATGTATCTTCCTTCTGGGTCAATGATGGTGGAGGAATTAGTTAGTGATATTTTCTTGTGGATCAGTATGGATACACCTCTTTGTCTTGAATTATAAGAAAATATCTGACAGAATCCAGTTGAATTTAAGCAGAAGTTGTTAGATTTTGTCAGGTGAGTTTCTTGTAGAAGGCATATATCTGGTTTTAATTTATTTAGATGATTGAATACTTTAATCCTTTTAGCTTGGGAGCCAATCTTTCTGTTATTTCAGAGAAGGACCCCTCGACCCCCCCCCCCACACACACACACACACACACGTAATTTGAGCTTGCATGACACCCCTGGGTGTGTGTGTGTGACTGCTGCTGCCGTCAAAAAGAAGCATCAAGCTTACTTTTGGGATCATGTTTTGGGGCGGCAGTTGCTCAGTAGGGACTTGGGTTGGAAACCGGAGGATAGTCGGTTCACGTCCTTGTGCCTGTTAGCTGAAGAGGTGCCAGGGCACTTCCAGAGTACTGCAGAGCAAGGCACCAAACAGCTCTGGTGCACTCCCTGTGTAGCAGCCCCACTCGCACATATCTCCACTAGTGCATATCCACAGATCATGTTTGTGTGTGTACTTCGGGCCTGGATGTGAGAAACATGTCTCACAATAACACAGTGTAAACCAGAATTATCTTCAGGGATTAAATTAAAAATGTTGTTGCTGATGAGGGTTTTGAGTAGTGATGTGTCGGTCATGAACGATCCGTTCAAAACGAACGAATCATCTGGGTGAACGAACTGAACTGAATCACTTACTGAAAAGAGTCGTTCATTTCTCAACTCTCTCTCCTCTCTCCCGTCTCTTGTCTCTCTCTCCTGACCGTAAGAGTCGATCAAAGCCCGCCCTCCCTCTCCTTTCATGTCAGTGATACGTACTGACTGAACCAACAGGACGGAGTCGGTCGGGAGCTCTGTTCACTAAAGCCCGCCCCTACTTCTCCCTCTCATGTCTCCAAAATTGAGGAAGTAGAAAATATATTATTTAACATTTAGGTGTCGCGGAAATGTATGTGCTTTTTATAGCTGCCGTCAGTTTACAAACAGCTTTTATATCCAACTAAATTTCACTCAGCTGACTGTTTTAACATCTACTAACCATCGTGTTTCAGTCAGTACTGTGTGTGTGTGTGTGACTGAGGCTGGTGACTCGCAGTCTCGCTCGTTCACGTTCAGTCAGAGTTTCGTTCACTGAACGAACTGAACTTGAGCTCCGACGTGAGTCTCTCTCTTCCTCTCAGTCAGTCAGTCAGTGATTTGTGTACTGAACGTACTGAACAGAACGGTCGGGGAAAATAAATGTGATTGTTTTAGCAGCTTTCAGTTTGCAAACTGTAGCTTTATCCAACTAAATTCTCAGCTCATTAGTTTATTATTCACCACCGGCTGTTCTCAGTACGATCGCGAGCAGAACTAAACGTTTGGCCGTGTTTCAGTTTATTAAATTCTGATTCACAGACAGAGCTGCAGAGAAGTACTGAACGATTCGGTGAACGAATCTTTTGAACAAATCACTTTACTGAACTGATTCTACTGATTCAGTACACTGAAAAGAACTGCTTTTCCCATCACTAGTTTTGAGGAGACATCGCCCCCTTAATTGAAACACAATAATGAGGAAAACAATTATCAGAACAATCTCAACCACTCTGACAACCGAGTCTTATTCCTGTTCTGTAAGAGTATTATCAAGTTTAAAGTTTACCAAAACGGCGTGAACCGGTTGCACAGGTCTGCGTTTTAAAGTTTTCTCCGTATATTGACTGTACAATTCATTATATTACTTTCACACAAATGGTAACCACTCTGATCATATTCTCTTCCTCAAAACTCCACAAAGGAAGTTATGAACGATCATCAATGACAGAGAACATATGAAGTGAATCATTATTCTGTGTCCGCTTCACGCTCAGAAGAGAATATCACGACTCATCATCGTGGTTAGCGAGACCAAACACTTTAGAAACACATTTCTCAAGTCAGAAACTATAGAAATGATCCCTGAAAGTATAGTCTTAACTAGATAATCAGAAGAGAGCAGCGAGTGATGTGCGGGGAGATCACTCTCACTCATGGTTCATCGTTACTGTCGCAAACTAGTGAAAGACCGGTGACCGATGGAAACGTTTAATCGTAACTAACCGGAGAGATCACCATAATTACCTTCTTGTGTTTTTACAGCTGATGGTGGTGATTTGGATTGTGAACAACCCACAATGCTTTGCGAACCGAGTAATGGACGGTAGATGTTTTCACCATGAAATATTAAGATATGTGTCTGTTCTAACCTATGGTTCTAACTTGCCATAACTTTGTAAATTGACCAGCTTTTTTTGTTTATTTCGTAACGACCAGACAGTGACAACGTTTAATGTACGAAAATGAATAACGTTGTACTTTACGTGAGATTCAGGGGGCAGATGGTGCGTTGTTTGTAATGCTCCTGACAGAAACTTGTGCAGAGACAGAGGTATAGTTCCGCATACACTTTCAATACCAGATCAGCCTGTGTAATAAGAGCATTAACCATCGTTTGTATAGATGAATTTAACAGGTTAATGGGTGGTCGAAGCTGACTTCCGATACTCTGTGTACATTATTTTAATTGACTTAATTTACGCAAACATTTGCCTTTAGGTTACTGTAGACTTGACTGCATGGTCGTTGGTTTTCAGTTTTATGTTTGGTCACAGAAAGAGGACAACATTTAATTATCGACGAGGTCAAATTATGTAACTACTCAAAAAAATAAAGTTCAACAGTGCGGTTCCGAAATTTAAAATCCTATTAACATTATTATTAACAATTTAATCACTTTAAGAAAAAAATGTAGCTACAAAGTCCGTGTTCAGAAAGAAACGCTAAACTATCGTTTGTTTGGGTCTCGTTGGAATCGCAGTGGATTGTGGGATGCGTAGTTCCTTAACTCTTTGAAAATAATATTAAGTCTTCAGTTTTTGCCATTTTCTTCGTTTTCGATAGCGTTTTTTGCACCAAATCAATTTAGAAATATTTTCTGAAATGTCACTGAAACCCACGCTCAAGCGTTGAACTCAAATTACTTAACTTTCCAGAAAAGTATGATCACATTTCAACAGGATGTCATGATAGCCTATTCACTATTTTTGTAGTATTCCTTTTCAATTTTGCATCTAGTAATACCATTTGAGGAGTATTTAGGACCCGTACATGGGAGAGATTTCAGACAGATGTGAGACCAAATTTATTTTGCATTATTAAGACTGCTGTTTCCAAACGCAGTATCTTGCTCCTTAACGATGGCTTCCTCAAACTCTTTCTCCTTCTTTAACCTGAGTTCAGTCCAATCAAAAACAAGTAGTAAAGTCTGACCCTTACTGGTTTCTCAAATATTTGTTCGCAGGTTAATTATTTTTCTTTTAAGTAAGTGAAATGTTTGCTGTCCTTGAAATATTTTTGCATTTCGTGAAATGTTTTAGGTGTCTGATGAAATGTTTGTTGCAGTCATGAAATATTTGTGCAGTTGACCTCCAGGGCCACCGTATAAAAGTAACATGGGGAGGGGTGAAATATTTGCAACAAGTCTGGTTTAATGTCAGTTTTTCAGATAACGTAGATAATGAATACAAGGCACCTCTGTAGATTTCCATCACATATACTGCATAAAGTATTCAAACCTAAAACAGGCCAACGTATTCAGAAAGAAGTCGTGATAAATATTGAATAAAGAATATCTTATGGGCTGCACAGTGGTTAGCTCTGTCACTTCCCAGCGAGGAGGTTCCTGGTTTGAATCCCCGTCTGACAGGAGTCTCTCTGTGTGGAATTTTCATGTTCTCCCCGTGCATGTGTGGGTTCTCTCCGGGTACTCCGGCTTCCACCCACAGTCCAAAGACATGCTCGTTAGGTTAACTGCTGACTCTAAATTGCCCCTAAGTGTGAATGTGAGTGTGGTCTTATGTCTTATGCTGCATTCAGGTGCTCCTCGGATGGTCCCAGTTTGGGAAGTCGTTCTCCTGACTTCAGAAAGTTGGAATGTTGTAACAGCAACAAACAGCGTTGATGCTATGAAGAATATGTGTGAATGTCTGTGTTATGAGTTATATTTGAGCAAAAAGTTGATGTGCAATATGTAAATTAATCAAAAGTATCTCGACATTAATTAAACATATTTTTCCCTCGATGTGATGACGAATATGACGTCAAGTCGGCAGGTCGGGCACCTCATTTTTTGAAAAGGAGTTTCCGGAAACTCCTTTTCCTGATATCACTTGAATGCACCATATATGTCAGCCCTGTGATTGACCAGTCCAGGGTGTAACCCGGCCTCTCGCCCAATGACAGCTGGGATCGGCTCCAGCCCCCCTGCAACCCCGAGCAGGAAAAGGGGTCTAGATAATGGATGGATGTCTTTCATGCTGATACATCCAGGTCAAACATGTCCAAAGGTGCAGATTACATATCGGATAAAGATCAGTGATTAGGTTAAAGACTAAACAATTAACAGCATTTCTATTCTACCTTTTAGTGTTTTTTCTTTGCTAATGTATTCCTTTAAACCACTGTAGTTAATCCTGCATGTTTAATTTTATCATCACATGGGGTTGTGATTGTTATATCATTATATTTGTGCTCCTTCAGTTTGTAGTGCAGCCGTTCAAACAATAACTTTGCTTTTGTACACTGGTCGGAATAAATTACATTTCATAACATCACATTTACAGCTCCATTTAAAAAACAAGTCACAGTCTCACTGACTGTTAAGGAGGCACCATGCATCGAGGATAAAGTTATATTATATAATAATAACTGGAATCAGATCTATGTCACAAACAGGAGGAGAGGAGTCATGTTGCTAATAAACAGGAAGTCAGTCAGCTGCTGTGTGCGGTCATGCTTGTAGTTATCATCTGCGTTGGACGTCTGCTCTTGAAGACACAGAGTTGTTTTCTCACTTTAATTTAACCCGTACTTCAAAATGCTTCCTTCATTTTTTGTGTTTTTATTGCCCGCCGTTAGACTCTCTCCTCTTCTACGGCTTCTCCTGGAACCTCCTCCAGAGCTGGTGAACTTGTTTCCCGGCCTCAGAGCGGACGCAGTCGGAGAAGGAGGCGTGGCGTCGTCCCTTCACCTGGTACACATGGACAGAAACAGAGGCACAGTGACGTACAGAGCCAGAACGTGTTATGGAATAGTGAGGTGAAGTACATCAAGAGAGATTAAAAAAAGTATTCCTGTAATAAAAAACGATGTTCCAGGTTGTTTTAGGGTAAAAACAAAGTTGAGAAAATGTAATGGGGTAGATTATGAGAGACACTTAACTAATAAAATGGAAGAATAATACATCTGGTAAAAGTCACTTTAAAGACAGGGTTGGTAATTTTCAAAAACTAGCATGATTTTGAAAGTAGCATTCCCTCAGTGCTCCATCTGCACCCACCACCTCCCCTCTGTGCTCCCTCATAAGCCACGCCCCCTCACTTACATGAACGAGTGCCGTTTCTCCAGAAGTGGACCTCAGCTCATCTCTTACGTTGTGTAGAAGCTACGTCGTCTCATGTCTCATTCAGCAGTAAGTAAACTCAGTATAAACTCTGTCATCTGTGACGCGCTTTGAGTGTGGGCTAGAGCACGCAAGAGGTAGAGAGCGAGCAGGGAGACAGGGAGGCGTAATTGGTTCTTCAGTTTGGTACCTCGTGGCAGACATTGGTTGAAGATTTTACAGGCTTACAACTGATACAGATGATAGATTTTTTTTGTTCCTTTTTCAGAGAACTTGAGTTATTATTTCTGTCAGGACCTAAAGACAATTTCAACCAAAATCTTAAACAGTGGATCTGGAGGAAATTACCAACCCTGCCTTTAAACTCAAATTTCCCATTGCCGTTTGTGCACCACAGAAGGACCAAGTACTGAGTCAGGATCTGAGACTGTATAAAGAACAGACATTAAGTACCTCATATGAAGCCAAAAGATTTAGAGCGCCCTCTACTGAGGGGCTGCAGTAAATATCATAAACCATAAAACTGCCTTCTCCATGTTAACAATTAGGACATGGATTAGAGGTTAGATTCTTTGCCTGATGCAGAGACCATACCAACCTGGCCTGCATCCCGGTTTTGAGGTCAGATAAAGGTCTATCTTTTTCTCTCTTTGTAATAATCCTGGGTCTCGAGCTGAGCCGGCCGAACCCAGAAACAGAAGAGAGTAGAGTGGGAGTAACACACAAACGCTCACAGGAGCAGCTGATAGGGGATGTGGTCTGTGACGTGGTCTGGCTTGCCGATGGTGTCTCACTCCTCTGAAGAGGGGACAGAGTGTGGATCACTTCATCCCCCCATAGTGACTGACTCAGATTGAAGGCAAAACATCATATGGGCGTAAATATCACGGCTTGAGACGTGTGGTCTAACATGGTACGGGCTCTAAATACTCCTCAAACTCTCCTCATCACTCACTCTGGATACAAAACTTAAAACAACAAACAGTGGCTATTATGAGTGCAAGCAAGCATTTGAATTGTGAGTGGTACTTATCTGCTCGCCAGCTCCTTCTTCAGACAGGACTTAAAAGAGGTGGCACGCTCCACAGATTTATAACCCTGAGAGGAGGTCGAGGAGACGTCATGGCAGGAAGAAAGGGAGGAAGGAGGAGAGGTACGAAGCAGCAAAGATGTAGAAAGGACGCAGGAGCAGTCGGAATAACAGCAGCACAGGTGAGTGTGGGAGCAAACGAGGTAAGGAGAGAGGGAGACAAAGAGAGAGGTGTGTTAATAAGCCAAGACTGCGAGGCCAAAGAGCATCAAAGAACTAAAAGAGTCATGAAACGAACACAATTAAGGTTCACTTTTTATTGAAATGTTCCAGTTTGTGACTTTTCATGTGCAGGGGTTTACTTCTGTTGTATCTGAATTCACCACCAGAGGGCAGTGTTCCTTCTTGCTGAGATTACTCAGCGGTTCTAGAAGGTGGTTTCCAGTTCATGTCGTCACAGCAACATTAAAGCTGTTGAACCTTCATGACCAAGATTTGACCTCCTGAAGAAAAGCACAACCTTCTCTATCTTGCTCTGTGTAGATTTTCAAACAGCTATTTCATGTCCATCCTTATAAAATTAACAATTTTATTCAAGGTATACTTTAAGTGGTTCCCAACCTTCTTCCCCCCCCCCCCAAAAAAAAAAACTTGAAACAAAGGACCAACATGAACAAGAATTGACTTAAAAAATGTGCTATCTTGACGACCCTTATTCAACCTCTTCTTGTGCTGATCTGTGTGTTTCTCACCCTGGCTCCTCTGTGCAGCCGGTCCTTCATTATCCCGATGAACTCCTTGTAGGAGAGCTGGTCGTCGTGGTCGACGTCAAAGATCTTGAAGATGGTGTTTACAAGGTGACGTGTCAGCTTCAGCCCCGTGGCCACATAAACCGCTCGGGCAAACTCATCTAGTAGGAGAGTAAATGTACTTAAATTATTTCAGATTATACTGAGATACTCTTTTTTTTTTCCTGCAGAGGGCGCTTTCTGCTATTGGCTGTCTTTGTTTGATGTCAGTAGCTGATGAAGAGAGGCGTACAGACGTGATGGAAGCAAGGGGGGGATTTTAAAGTTGAGGAAGCGCCTTGTTTAGAAGTGAGATTTGAGATGCCAGGCGGGCAGACAACACAAAACAGTGTATTGCAAGAGACAGAAGAATGACACATAAAGCACAACACACACAGGGAAGCGGATTTTAACCCTCTAGCTGCCCAAACGAGAGAAAGAGGGCTAATGCGTTTTGAGGATGACATCCAACATACCTTGTCCGATGGAGCGAGAGGCGAAATTGTACATCTGCATGGCGATGGCGAAGTCCTCCAGGTTGTTAAGAAACTGGAAGAAGGATCTGAACTCATCGAAGGTGATTCCCTGAAACACCAGAGACGGCACATGTGACATCGACCACCGCAGCAGCGTGAAAGTGAAGAGTACTACAGTGTTTCAGTGCGGACTGGCATCCAAAGGGACCTCGACAGGCATGCATTCAGCATTCCAGGAGGCCCATCCACTCCGCTGTCTGAAGTATCAACCCCGCCAAAATAAAAGCATCTGACTGCAATGCATTCTGTTTAACAATTACTGCAAAGGCCCATTAATGGCGTTCAAAGTCATTAATGGCGGGATCAGAATCCTGATGTGTCTGCAAACAGGCTTAATGCTGAAGCCATTCAACAAGTCGCTGTGACTGCCACATGCTCTCTGCTGTGAATCAACAAAAACCTTAAAGGGGACATATTATGAAAAATCCTCTTCTACAGTGTTGTTGAACATATATTTGGGTAACCTGAGTGTCTACAGACCCACAACATGTGAAATAAACCCTTTCAGTCCTTTGTTTGTGGTCTACATAAGTATTATAACACAGAGAAAAATGCTCCGTTTCAAGTGTGCTCAGCTTGTGATGTCACATTGGGACTTAGATAAAAAAAAAAATCTCCTCCCCTCCCCTGGTATCTCCACCCATGGACTCCTCCCCCAACCTAGAACAAAACTTTTGCGCAGGTCCGCCATTTTTATTCTCTCTACAGAGGAGTGATGTCTACCACGAAAACTCAGGGGGGGCTCATTGCATTTAAAGAGACACACACACCAAAATGGAGCATTCTGAAAGAGCTGGTTTATACAGGGTCACAAACCTCCTCTGGTGCTTGAGTCATGTTATATTTTGACCAAAGCACAGCACAGATGTTTCATTTAGACCACAGGGGACTGTTTGAAAAGGTGGAAAAGGGGGATAATATGTCCTCTTTAAACTAGATTAATATCATCATAGAAGTGAGGGAAGCACTCTTTTTACATTCACAAGAGTAGATGCAGATCAATACAAAAATAAACAACCCGGTAGCGGTGTCTTTAGTTAGCTAAACAAAGGTGGCGAGGTAACTGAAGAGCAGGAAACACTGACAGGTTGTGACTGCAGGTTAGTGTGTTGTACGAGGCAGAAAACCAACCTGCTTCTTCAACAGCATGAAAAGGAAAGAAGGGAGGGACAGAGAAAGTGTTGGGCTGCACAGAAACAACACGTCAATGTGTAGATTTTTATTTATCTGATTTGTATAGATTGATTGTATAGATTGAGAAGCCCTGTTCAGACTGCCGTTTCAAGCCGCAACATTTACGCCCCTTTGACGATTTGTCTTCCCTAATCCTAACCCTCCCTTGCGGAGTTGTAACCCCCAATTTCCACATACTGTGTGCTCCGCCGCCCCACTAGGTTTGTTTCTGGAGCGTGAGCTGCAACTACAAGATCACACAGGAATAAAGAGAAGAACCTGCAAAAAACATGTTGCTTTATCTTTCTGAGGATGACTTGTAGTTTGTACGGCGCCTGTTTTGACGTCATGTTGGATATACACGATAAGGGGTCTGTATGTTGTGTTTTAACTTGAAATTGACCGGACGCTTTGTGTGTTTCCCTATCTAACTTCCTGCTCGGGTCGTTCTATTCTGTCCAGCTCGACGCGTGCATGCAGCGTACTGCGAAAATAGACTCACAGCGTATTTAAAAGGGAGCAGAGTGTAGTGGCACTGCTGGTACGCTCCGGAGACAGACCACACCGCGCGCTGTGGAAACTCAATCATTGACTAGAGTGGAGGAGAAATTGGGCGTTATGGGGGGGACTAAGTGACCCCCCCCCCTCTGTCCCGTCCTCAGAGGTAGTAACAGGGCGTTACAGAGGAGAGACTGGATCAGCTGAGCCAGCGAGGGAGCGCAGCGCTGTGTGTGTGTGTATGTGCATGTCTGACTGTGAGTGAATGTGGAGCTCCTGCTGCGCCGTGCTTCCACAAAGCCGAAATGTAATGTAAATTCACAGACTGGAACGGCAATATGACGCTGTCGTGGAATCAATATGAACGTGCGAGGATGTGATGAAGGCTGAGCTTAGTTACGGCACTTTTGCATAAAAAAAAAGGCAGTATGAAAAGGGCGATAGATAGATAGATAGACCATTTTCATTCACATAGAGCTGGAGGTGTGGTCAAGTGGTAGTGTGTGTGTGTGTTTGTGTGTGTGTGTGTGTGTGTGTGTGTGTGTGTGTGTGTTTTTGTGTAGGTGTGTGGTCAAGTGAGGCAGCGCTGAAGCGTGGAGAGCCACAACAGCCTCAGGCAGAGACGAGTGTTGGGAAATTTCGGCTGCTCTACGTAGATGGCTGGAAGGAGAGAAGGACTATAAAAACAGGAGGAAGGAATCAAACAGAAACACAAAGGATCGAGGAAGCTTGATAACAATCCAACACCGCTTTGTAATGTACTGATAGAGATTATAGAAATTTAAAAAACAGCATGCCACAATTTTAACTAAGTGTGGGCTGAACAAGCGGTAACCTCTGGTGTTGACGATTAAAACTGCAGTTCCCAGAGACCCCTTGTGGCAGTCTCCAAATGCCAAAGATTAATGCATGTTACCATGACAACCTGCTACCCCAATACTCGTGACTATGAAACATTTGATTTGGCACAAAAAACTGCGTCTTTTTAAATGTGACTTAAGCCATTGTTATCGTGTTTATGCTGTTTATACAAGTGTTGCTCTATCTTGTAGTTTGTGTTGTTGAATATATAAATTACATTCACTGTGGCATGACAAGGTTATTAGTATGTTTCCTTTTAGCTAACTAACTAGCTAGCCTGCTAACAAAAACTGTCCATTGCATACGCCGCCGAGGGGCATGAAACATGGACAAAGTAACAGCGAGCTCCACCAATCACAGACGTCTCTGTGGCACTCTATGATTGTGGGTATCAATCAATCAATCAATCAATCAATTTTTATTTGTATAGTGTCAACTCATAACAAGTGTTATCTCGAGATACAAGCAGGTAAAATACCTTACTCTTTGTCTTTTAGTAGGGTAGTGTAGTTCTTTGCCCCGATATCGTGAATAAACCGTGTAGTTCTTAAACGAGATTGATCTCAGACGACCTTGTGTCTCCTACAGGAGCATAAATCATAGCTTCACTCTCAGGTAGCTCATGGTCAGTCTACCTATGATGGTTATGACATTATGGCTAATAATCAAATCCGCATTGGGAAAACTAACGAGATCTTACTTCCTGAACCACAATGTTATTAGGGGTGTGGCTCATTTGACTGACAGGTGGGTGTGTTCTCGCTGTTTGCCGCCTGCCTCATCACTACCTCTCTTTTTTTTCTGTTTCTTGATGGAATAAAAGTTTGCATTCCACTATGGCTAACGCAATAGTCAGGCTTCATAATGGCTTTTCAGAAACCAATCAATGACATCACTGAGGCAACGTCCATGTTTTATACAGACAACTAAGGATGTCAAAATTTCCAATACTTAAGAAGCATTCGATACCAAGAGTGTTAAAATTCCATTATTTTGCAATTTTGAAACAGTATTTTTTTTTATGCTTTTATTTTGTACTTTTGAAGTGGTTTAAGCTAAGAGTACTTTCTATGGTGTTTTGTTGTTTTGATGCCTTACTTTCTCGTCAGGTATACAATGGCGAACGTTCTCCAGGTAGGCACTGATGTTCTCCACGTTGGTGAAGCGCAGCAGGATTTTGGCAAAGTCTTCTTCACTGATGGTGGTCATCCCTTTAGAGTAGGTCAGAAACTCTATCTCCAACACCTCTGTCTGAAGGTTATCCATAAACCTGAAACACAAAAAGCAATAAAAACAGGAAAAGGGGGGGGGGGGGGGGTTTAAGGAAAGATAACCCGGTTATTTGGTTAATGTTTAAAACAGAAGCCCAATATTTTAAGGTGTCAACTGCACATTTTCTTACCTGTAGAAGTCATCAAACGTAAGCTCCGCCTTCCCTTTCTTCCCAAAGAAATGCACCAACAGGGTGGTGTCAATGGTGATGCTCTCGTCTGCTCGCTGTTAACCATCAGAGAGGGAGGAGGAATAAGCACCTGTTAGTTACTGATCAATACAAATCAAGCACTATGGCTGCAGAAGAAGCAGTGGGCGGGACAAGTCCATCATCAATCCAACATGGCGACCGTGGTGCCAGGCTTAGCAGGAAGCATCGAAACACCGCCAATCAAACGAAAGAGCTCAGACAACAGTCAGCGGCCATCATGACATCAACAAACCAGTCTAGGCAGCTAATAAAAAAACCTCTCAGGATTAGTACATTAACACTATGATAAAAGGATTGGTGGAACCAGGGGTGAAAGTAGTCCAGTACGGTCCGGTTTGGTCCGTTCCTGCGTTCTGCGCAGTACTGGAAAGAGGCGGGAGCAGCTGCCTGTCAAAACCCACATTCAAAACCAGGCACTTTTTCTCCTTAATAATTACTTCTAAGTCGTTCCGATATTCCTTCTGAACTGTCTGTGCTTTGTTTTGATCCGTGCTGGACGAAGACACCTTCATGACTGCTAATTAACGTGAGCTCGAGCTTCCTCCAGCGCGCTACAGCTGACGGATATTGAGGGCTGTGGAGTTTTGGCAGGTTTATGTTGTTTGCAAAATCTCCCAAGTAAAAATGTGTAGCAGAATACGTTTTGATGTTTCACGATATTCTGTTTTATTCCAACAGCACTGACAGAAGCTCAGACAAGCTGTGTGTGAGGTGACGATCAGGGATCGCTCTGTCACTCATTTCAACGCCATGCGACTTCACACAGCGCCTCTGAAAGCATTTGACTTATTGTCCCGGGACATCAATTTCAAGCGTTTTATTCCTTTCAACTCCATATAGGTTTTAAATATTGAAACATTTATTTTAAGGATGCATGAAGCCGAGGAGAGTTGAACAATAAGAAGCGATGAAGGTCGTGGTCGTCGTACCGGCTTGAGTTTGAAACTACTTTCACCCCTGGGTGGAGCTATTTAACTTCAGGAGGATTAAAATGTAAAGAGTACAAAGTTAAAATGGGGTGATGAGGTCAAATGGACAGACAGGTTTTTGTTCATTTGGATTCAAACATTTATATCTATGCTGCCTGGACTGGCAAGAAGTGTTGCTGCAGCAGCATGAAACAGACCGATACCGCTGAAGACACGAGGAGCGCTCAGGTAGCAAAGACAAATGAAATTACAAAGAGGAGTGGGGGTAAGCAAAACATAGAAAGGAGGACAGTTTGTCAGACAGCAGAGAAGAAAGAGATGACCAGAGAGAGAGAGAGAGCGGGAAAGATAACATGAATAACTAAGACTGAGACAGAGAGTACACAACACTTACCTGTTGAAAACACAAGGACACACACACACACACACACACACATGCGCTTTTCTGCCAATGCCACATCGACACACATCAACCGAACCTCAAATCACAAACAGCAGAGTGAAACAACACAACCACAGAAGCACAAATGCAGCGGCTGTGGGCCGATTCCACCTTTTTCCGTCTACAGAGGAGAATTGTAGTTTCATTTATTTGAAAGTTGTTCTGTTTATTTCTTTGTTCCTTTCATATACTTACTCCATGTGAATATATACATGTGTGTTTACTGTCTGACCTTCGTCATTTAAAACCGATTAAACATGCTTAGGTAGGTTCGTAATGTTTGCTCACGCTATCATCTGTTGTTTACATTTCTTAAACCGCTTACAACAGAACAAGGTGACAGTGGGAAGATTCATCAGCCCTTAAGCAAACTGTTTCTAAGTTCGTACTTCACTGTTTGTATGTGTTGAAGGGATAGTGACGCAGGGTTGAAGCAGGTTGTCTGAGGCACTTGTCCAAAGTAAGTATTACTCAGGAGATCCAGCTCAGCACTGACGCTTGATGGAGAAACCAGTCGAAGGTTCTGGTGATGGATATTTGTAAACTGTGAGCCCAGGGTTATGAACCTTGAATAGAAATGTGACTACAATATAAGTTTGTCAGCCCTGTGACTGCCTGGCCAACAGGGTGTGACCGCACCTTTCGCCCAATGACAGCTGGGATCGCTCCAGCACCCCCGTGACCCGAAATGGGAAAAGCAGTTAATATATGGGATGGATGGATGTAAGTTTTGCAGTCCTGCAGTAATGCAGGTGTTGTACCAGATCGCCATGGTGAAGAAGGAGTTGAGCCGGAAAGCAAAGCTTTCGATTTATCAATCTACATTCAAACCTTCGCCTGTGGTCATGAGCTTCGGTCAGTGACCAATACAATGACATCGTGGATACAAGCGACTGAATTGAGTTTCCTCTGGAGGGGGTGTCTGGACTTAGCCTAAGAGAAAGGGTGAAGAGCTCAGACATGCGGGGGAGTTTGGAGTAGAGATGCTACTCGTTCTCATCGAAAGAAGTCAGTTAAGTTGGTTCGGGCATCTGTTTCTGTTTCAGATGCCTCCTAGTCGCCTGCCTTTGGAGGTCTTCCGGGCATGCCCAACTGGGAGGACATCCGGGTCAAACCCAGAACGCACTGGAAGGATTATATATCCCTTCCCGCCTGGGAACACCTTGGAAATCCCCCCCTAGATGAGCTAGAAAATGTCACTGGGCAGGAGGACTTCTGGGTCTACTCGCTTAGCCTGCTGCCACGACGACCCGGCCTCAGATAAGCGGAAGAAAATGCATATTTGGATGGATGTAAATTTTCAGTTTGCACTGTTTTGTTTTGTTTTTGTAAAATGACACAACACATGGTCCACATGTTATGCTAACCTTATCAAAGCCGTGTATAGCCTAGCTTCTATGGGGGCCGGTTTCTCAATAAAGGGGTCGAGATGACAGCTTCTCCTGTGGCTACTATAGACAAGTACCTCAAACAACTCTGCTTGAATGAATCCAAACTATTTATTTAATGCAACATCAGAAAAAGGTGACTGTGCTGTTTCTGCAGTGTCATCACAAAGGGGTCTTAAAACGCCCATCTTTTCCCCGTCTTCCTGCCATGCCCTTCTCAGCCATCTCCCTGTCCAATCCAAGGCCATGCTGAGGTCATTGCAGACATCAGATTGTCTGGAATCTAATGTCGTATGAAGGGGGAAGAGCATGAAGCCATTTCCATTTCTAACATCATCATCATCATCATCATAACCACGATGCAATTCGTGGTTCTACCTCAAGAGTAAAATCCTAAAATCCAAAGTGGGATGATAAAACGTCAGACAAGATGACACAGGTTTTACAGAAGTTAAATAAAACAAAGTTCTTCAAGTGTGAAAACTGTACTTTCACACATTTGACAGAAGCTGCAGTAAGGGCCTGTGTCCAACTGGTGTTTTCTTCTGGGCAGAAAAGCGCTGACTGTGCACACGGGAGCGCTTGAATGTAGCATCTCTTGAAAATGGCCGCTGTATGACCGACACTGCTCCGTTAAACGATGGCCACGCTATCAGGGCTCTGATCAGACGGGGAGTAAGGACCTGACAGATCTTTTCATATGGTTGGCTGGTTGAAAAGAGTCCTGGTGAAGTCAACATTGCCTTTCTGAGAAGTTGAACGTTTTTAAACTCGGTGCGACCACACAAAAAAGGCTGTCTCGCAAGAAAGACGCTTTTCTCTGGGCGGCAGTATGTTGCAGAAAACACTGTCCTCATTGGGAACAATTGAAAAAAGAAGCTAAAACGCTAGCTGGACACAGGCCTTTACTCGGATGCTTTGTGTGACATAAAATGTGTACATTCATTTCCTCAAAAACGAGCAAATGACTCGACGAGCGGGGATGATGTGATTAAGATGCCAAAACAACCACAGGTGATTGAAATGTAACATATATATCACACGACAGCTCTTTCTTTGAGTGTTGTAAGCCCTTAAGGATTCAACTTATGACCCCTCAAGAGAGGCTAGGCCAAAAAATATCATAAGCACTTCATGCTAGCAGCAATAATTATCTTCAGATTGTCTCAGGTGAATACGTCATAGAGGCCTTGAGGAGTAAAAGCGTCCCATTCATCGAATGTAATAATGGGCAAAGCAGAAAAACAATCAGATAATTAATTATTAAATTAAAGATAATAAAAAAATCTTACAAATAAAATAACCCTGTAGATGTTCCAGCTGTCATCTATCAGTTTTTGGACCGCCATAATTCCGGACGGTTTCTGGTTCACTTTGTGGTCCTCTCTTTGATCTGGGACTTATCATACTTCTAAACCCAGACACACTGAAACCATTACAGACGTGTCATGTCAGCATCTTATTTTCTGTCTCACTTAAGGTCTCTTCATTAAGCCTTTGATTTCTGACAAAAAGGAAAAAAATACTTTCTTCCTTTTATCTTTAAAGTGACGCAGCACTGACGTCTTTATGACACACGATCTGTTCATACATCTAGACAGCATCCAGGTGTGTTGGGTCTCTGCCTTTCGTCCCTCCTATCTCCATATTATAGGAATTATACTGTTTCTTCTCATGCTTTGTTTTTCTGTGGTTATGAATGATTAAGTAAAAGAAAAAGCAGAGACGCCTAAAATCAATCTTTGTTCTCCTTCTGTAAATGGATATGTGATTAGAGATTTACTTTTAGAAAAAAAGAGGAACTTTAGTAGTTCATGTGCATGTTTGTGTTAGCTTGTTTAGCTGGTTTGCCAGTTGTTTTGTTTGATTGGTTTAGTTGGTTTGGTTGACTGTTTGGTTTGGTTTAGCTGGTCTGATTTGATAGGTTGGTCTGGTTTGGTTGGTTTAGTTGGTCTGGTTTGATGGTTGGTCGGGATTAGATGGTTTGGTTTGGTTTAGTTGGTCTGGTTTGATATGTTGGTCTGGTTTGACTGGTTTAGTTTGCTTGCTGTGGTTTGGTTGATTCAGATTCAGATTTTCTCCTGTTTCTATTTTTTGTGCTGAAAGGCGGTTAAATGTAAATGATTTATTTCTATTAATATATTAGAGGTGAGATAGTTTGGTTAGAGGAAAATAAGTTTTGTTTGTTAAATTGGCATTCGTCCTCCCTGGAGTTTGTTTTCTAGAATAAATCTGCATATTTGTCTGGTCATCAGTTTTTATGCAGCACTTAGGCCAGGCGTAAAGCTGTCTTGATATTAAGTAAATAAATAAATAACAACCCTTGTAAGAGCCCGTCAGTGTAACATCAGGTAGACATAATACCAACCTGATCATAACAAGCTCATCATTCCTGGAAGTGTGGCAGCAGCGTGAGCTCATCATCCCCACAAAGACGTAATGTTAACCACGCCCACCAGGCACGAGCCAACACCTGGTGTAAACATCTGTATATTTGTCCATCTGTGTGTGTGTGTGAGAGCTTTAACAGACTTTGATCACAAAGCTGAAGGTAAAAACAGTAATTACTGATGTAAACACTAAACGGTCTTCCTCTCACCCTCCCTCTCTGTGAGTAATACGTCGGAGGAAGAGCTCGTCGTCGCTCCTTAGACTGTCGGTCACTCACACCTCACAGGGTAAAAACAGATAACCCCCCTTCTTCTTCCTACCTATCCCCTTCTCTCTGGGTGTTTTTCCTTCTTTCTGCCCCTGCTCTGGTTTCTCTGATTTCCTTTCTCCTCACTCAACCCGTCATTACCTCCTTCACCTGACAAACATAAAGGTGATGTGCTCTTTGCTTCCCTGCCTCCTCCTCCTCAGCCTTTCAGTCAGTCCCTCCTCCTCCAGACAAAAGCAAAGAGGTATAATGGTGACTAATCTGTTGAGTAAACACATCCCTCTCTAAATACTGCTTCTCTCTTTTCCACTAAATGCATTTCCCGAACTGCTTCTCTCCCCGCCCACTTTGTCCCTCGACTTTTGTTCTCTGTGCTGACCTGTGTCGTCTTATTTGGGCCTCTCTCACCTGTTTGTTGTCCCTTTGATTTTATCTCCTCCTCATGTTTACAGCTTATCTGATCAGGTTTCTGCTGGCTTGTTACAATACCAACATTTGGGTTCTCTTCAATTATCTGCTTTTTTGATCTCCCATGTTTTTGTTTTAAGACGATTAATTACATTTTTAACGTCCTTGTTTTTTCTCCTTTTTGTCTACACTGTCCCCCTTCAATCGTGTGATTCGTCTGTCCTGTCCGTCTGACAACCAGGCTGATGAAAGACTGCTCTGTGTAAATACAAGGTCAGCCACATTACGCTCCACTGTCATTACCTCCACCTCAGCTTCCGCTGCCACCACAGCTCACAGCCTCTCATTAGTCAGCTAGCCTGTTGGCTCTGTTAGCTCGCATTGTTAATCGTTAAACTCTATTTAAGAAGTATTAGAAAAACAACTACAACCCCATTCCCTAAAATGTCCGGACTTTGTGTGAAATGTCAATAAAAACAGAATGTGATGATTTGCAGAATGTTTTAGCCCGTTATTCGATTGATAACAGCAAAAAGACGACAAATCAAATGTTGAAACTGAAACATTTCCACCATTTTGAATTTGATGCATGTTCCAAAAAAAGTCGGGACAGGTTGTTTACCACAATATTGCATCACTTTGTACTTTCAACTAAACTAAGCGTAAGCATTTTAGGAACTGAGAAGACACATTTCTTTGATTTTGAAAGTGGATTGTTTTACCACCATATTGTTAAATGTAGGATTTCAGTTGTTCAACACTTCAGTGTCTCCTTTGTCGTATTTTACGCTGTGGGCGTTGTCTTTCAGAAATAAGCAAGCCATTCCCTGGATAATAAGTTGTCTGGTTCCATTGTTGTCAGCATTTCCACCAAGTCAATATATCATCAATCGACAACATCGACAGCTGTTCCTGAGAGCTGTTCCTGAGACGCTAATTAGAATCAAAACCGTCCTAAATATCATCATCATCAGTATCAGTAAGGTCGTAGGTGTTCATAAAGAGCTGGGTCTTCAGCTTTTTCTTAAAGATGCAGAAGGGACTCTGCAGATCGAGCAGAGTTTGGAAGTTTGTTTTATAAGCGTTTCACACATTTTCTTTTGTTGACACTGTCCCAACATGTTGCTGCCATCATCTATCTTTCCAAAGACAAGCAGATATCTCTAGTTTTTTTTGCAAATCATCACATTCTCTTTTTATTTAGATATTACACAGTGGTCCAGCTTTTATTTTGAAATAAGAATGTGTTTTTCTATTAATTTGTGCAACTTTGTTTTGAATCTATGGCAAATCCCAGTGATGTTGATGTAGAACCTTTGAGGACCATCCACCCACAAGCGACCAGTATTTGAAATTCTGAAGTCAGGAATACTTTTGACTTATTTCGTCTAGATCTATACACGTTGGTAAGTATTCTGTAGATGTAACGGACTATTCTTTTCAAATTAAAACATACGCTGTACGTGTTTGTATGTGCCCTGCAAGCAGCCTTGTTATCATTACACAAGAGTCATTAAACATGTTGTGGTGTAAAGGAACAATTGGACAGCAAAGCTACAACACTGACCACAACACAGCACAGATAACGAGGCACAGATTCACATACAAAAGCACGATGAAGAGACTATAAAAGGAGAGCAGGTGAGACACAGAACAGGTCATTAAACATTACAATAACTATCATCTAACCAGCATTATGGAACCAATACTGTGACAACAGTTATCAGCAAGAACAAATAAGAGCTCATCCAAACAGAAAAGATAGTCAGGGATGGAATAATGGATTGATGGTAGTTTACTTTCATATAACATGAGGTTAAAGTGTGACAACTAACTATGGGAAGCGGAAAGGCTCAAAACCTCTATTGGTGTTAAAACGTAAAATATGTTCATCTTAAAGGAGCAATATGTAACTCTGTCACCTAGTGTTTAAAATGGGAACATTAGAGAGAACTGTCTCTCCCCCCTCCTCTCTAGAGTCGATGCTCACACAGGTTGTCATGTGGTGGACACTGAAGCTTCAGTGTTTAGCCAGCTCTGCATCGGTCTGTAAACCTTTCTGTGTTCTAACCTCTCTCCATTTTTCAACAGCATCTCCAATATTGATCCTAGTTTGAGCACGTTTCTGCTCGTGGAGCTTATTAGAAACATGCAGAGGCTTTTTAGGTACAATCACTTCTATCTGAACCACTTCTCTTGCCCGCTTCCATCACTGCAACACCTGTTGGTTTGACCTGATAACTGCTCTCATATCTGGCAAACCGAGAGGCGTCCATAACAGCCGTGTGGGGGTGTCTTAAAACCGCCTACCTTCTCTGGTCCAAACAAATCCAGAGCATTCAGGACCAGAATCTAAAGTTAGAAGGAGGACATACTGGCTGCTGCATTGTTGTCAGAAAAGCCAGCACTTCAACATAGCATGTTTCCTTAATGTCTGATCAGATAGTAAGGTCACTTTATCATTTAGCAGATCTTACTGATTGGGCCTTTGAGATGTAAAAAATGTACTTGTTAAGGGGTTATTTTTTGACGTCTAGACATTATATTTCAAAATGTTAAGAAGAACAAATTTGATGTTTTAACACCAACGTCGCTCCAGAGGTTTTGAGCCTTTCCAGTTTCCACAACTAACCTACATTTTATACAAGGCAAAGTTCTGGAAAGGTACCAGATCGACAAATCTACGACAAGTTAATCTGTGAGCATTAACAGCATCAAGCCCAACCAGAATGAAAATACTTACATGTGTTGGATTTAAAGTTCCTAAAACTTTAAGCCCTGAAGCCGTGTTGCTCCAGAAGATATAGATTTTTGCCCTTACACCCACTTGAAGGTAAATATTTCTGGTTTTATTCTGGCCAAGCTTGATGCTGTAACATAACTCTGAATCTATGGGGCGGGTCTGATTCTAACCATAAAGGGAACTGAAGAGTAGAAGTGATGGATGACATATGGAAGGATGTAGAAACAGAGGACAGTTGGGTCTATGTACCTCCGCCAGGTCCGAAAAGAGGACTTGACTGGCGCCTCGCCTCAGAACGTCCCAGTAACTCCGCACCACAAACTCCTGACTGTCTTTTTTTAGCACCTGTGGGAGCGAGGTCAAGCAGGGCCAGGGTCAGTTCACCTCCGACTCGACCACTTGAGGAAGTAAACGTCATTGATCACTCTTTAATTTTTACAAACAGAATCAAAAAGTTATTTCCAGAAGACTTAAATCCTTGTAGTCTTCATGATACATGAGTACACATGATTTATATTTACAACAGGGTCCCACACAGTATTCAACCACTTATCGAGCTGCCTAATAAAACAGCAGCCATGTTTTGTTTTTTTTATGAGCGTACTATAGACCAAGTGTCTCCGACATGTCGACCACATCTCCTGGGTATTAAGTAGCTTGCCAAGAGGTTCAGAGGTTTTAAAAATGGATGTATCCTTAAAGCCTCTTTCCACCTCGATTCAATCAAATACCCAAATTTCCCGACCCCGCCAGTACAAAATAATAAGACAGAACCTAACCAATCACTGCAATGCAGCAGGAACCTTTTATCTAAAGGTCGGCTCAGTTACGCTGTGCGCTCGCTGTGTTAAAGCGAGGACTTCTGTGCTGTTAGCATTTAGAGTTAGAATTAAAGTTATTAGTTCTTTTAGAAAGAGACGTCTTCTTTCTAATCACAGAAATGTTGTGGAAAAATATATTGATCAGTGGTGGTCTTGACCGGTTTTGATTTAAAATCCACCCAGAGTCCACCAACTCTGACACCAAGACAAGACCGAGTAAAAATACTTTCTATTCCGAGACGAGACTGAGACCAGTGGTCTCAAGACCCAAACCACTTTTGAGTACTACAGCACTAGTGGTCAGCAATGACATTTTAGAGAAGTTGTTCTCATTTGTATTGAGAAATAATGAAATATCTATTGTTTTTTTAGTTGTTCTGTTTCATTCTGCGACTTCAAAAGCTAACACTTGTTTCTTTGCCTTTCTGTAGAATCAACAACAAACACTTACAAAATCTGAATAAACACTAACATCTCTGAAGGATCTCTGAAGCAGATAAACTATTATCCGTATCCTTCCTCAGTTAGAGTGTACTGTCTTTATGAAAGACGAGCCCAGTGTTGTCAAGCTGTTGACCACCCACCTAGCTCTGCTCTCCAGGGAGAACGCAGCGGCAGCCATTTTAACGTGACCCCGCACTGCTCTTAACTTCACAGTGACAATGCAGCTATCCATCACAGAGCTGACAGGACAAGGGCCGTCCGTGTGTGTGTGTGTGTGTGTGTGTGTGTGTGTGTGTGTGTTGAACAGAGAGAGAGCGAGAGAGAGACAGGAGGGAAGGAAGGAAAAAAAAATTGCAAAAAATGTGTTTGCCAGCCTACATTAAATGTGTCTGACATTTTTACTACACTGTCCTCCATCTTCTCTAAATCTATAAAAACACAACATCTCCACTGTTTACGAGTAGGAATGTCAAGATACTCTTAACTCCCGATACGATACTCATCAAAATACAAATTTGTCATGATGTACTACCAAAGTTTGGTCCTTACAGCTGGCTCTAATGTGTTCCTCATCTGCCCGAACTCCTAAAAACATCGCTGCATGTAGTCATCTCTGTGGATCTTGCAATTATTTGGGCGACGAGGATTAGGGTTTCAAATCCACCTCCCTCATGATCAGGGTTTCTTAAAGTCAAATTAGCTGAAAATGGAACCATTTGTCTTTTTATAAAGATTTATCTGAGGGCTTATTATGCCTTTATTGGAGAGACAGGACAGTGGACAGAGCCGGAAAGTGGGGGGAGAAAGAGTGGGGAATTAATCGGAAATACGCTGCTCCTCAAAAAATGGAGACTGTGGAGGAGTAGGTGGACTACAACAACAATGGCGGACTCTCAAGTTCTGTTCCTGCTGATGACTCCCAGTCAACATTTTCCTGAAATGTCAACTCTTTCTGCCTCAGCGCTCTGTGGAAGGACAGAGTGTGTGAGCATGCACGTATTGTTTCATTAAAAAGTCACACTGCCATCTACTGGCCTGCAGCGTTTTCAGTCGTTTTTGTAGCCACACAACAGCTGCGACTTCCTGTGCATATTCAGGCGTCTTAAAATCTCCTGCTCTCTATTTGCCTTAAAAGGAACACGCGCTGCCAAACAGACAACACAGGTCTGAAACGGTCTCTGTCTGATCGCTTCAGAGAGCCCCGAGTCTTTCTAAATCACATCACTCTCTTTTTGTAGGAGTTCATCTCTCCTGACCTCTTAAATCTATTACTCCTCTTCTGGCTTCTATCTCTCCATTCATCTCTCACTGTGTAATCATCCCTTGATCAATCACCCAGCCGAGCTGACAGATGGACACTGTCTTGTAGGAAGTCATTCTCTTTATCCGTCCGTCCTTTCAGGGAGTCTACTGTGTACATTGTAATGACTACAGAGGATCAGGTGGACTGTGTCGGGGTTAAGGCCTCTCTGAAAGGCCAGGTCAGGGAACAAAAGTGGGTGACAGGCACATTAAAGAGTCGCCTGAGTATCACAGGATTCATGAAAAATCACACAAAACAAGTTTAATACAATCGCCAGACTTAAAAGGAAAACCAGTGCTGCATGTCAGACTCCCATAATTCACATCTTATGCTACGTGCCAAAGTTATAAAACAATCAATATGATCCTCATTCTCATATTTGCTTTATTACAGAGAGAGTAAGTCTTTAACAACGACACTGTCTTCACATCATAATGAAGTAAGATTGAGTAACGGCTAGCTTGGTATTCAGCCTATGTAAGAGGTTTATGAGAGGCTTGAAGCCGTCTTGTAAATTATGTCTGTGCCAAGAGACACAGACTGTCTGTGTGGGTTCTCAGTGATCCAGTTCATGGTAAATTCAAAGCTCGATCCAAAGGCAAGTGGACTGGTGGAGGATCTTGAAGATGTTTCACCTCTCCTCCAAAAGGCTTCTTCAGTTTTAAACCATCTGGTTTTCTAGCTCCATCCACCACATAGTTTAGAACGGAAGAAGCCTTTCAGGAGGAGAGGTGGAACGTCTTCAAGATCCTCCAACACTCCAGCTTACAAATTCTCGGGGAACTATCGCGTGATTTGCAGAGCGAGCCGTTTAGCGCCCTCTGCAGACTTATCCTGGGATTACTCCAACATATGTTTACCTCGTCTATAACACTGTATGTGAGTTTTAAAACGGGGATCAGCATTATGGGTCACCTTTGAAAAAAAAAGAAACTGGGGAGGGGGGTTATGGCTTTGGATACATACGCTGTTCATGGGGGCAACCTGATATCCATAGAGCTGCATACTCTAACACACAGAAAGAGAGAGAGAGAGAGAGAGAGAGAGAGTGAGAGAGAGAGCAGCACAGAGCATGCATTTAGAGAGAAAAAGGAGAGAAGGTAAAAGACATGTTAGTACATGCAAGGAAAGAGGCTGTGGATACACTCTGCAGAGGGATGTGTCATTTTCAACACGGCTATGATTGCTTTTTACAACGACACACACTTTGCAGTACAACTCTGCTCTTCCCACTGATGATTCCTGCAACTCTGTGCAAGAAAGTAACAAATCTGTCTCTATCTGAAGGACGGACGTGAGCCTGCCCGACCAGGTATGGCCTATGTGATGGAAACATGGAAACACTGCCTTATATTAGCCCAGCCTGACTGATTCCACATGTGGCTCTTGGAAATAAAAGGTGTAATGTGTTGCTGTAATCATAGAAGACTTGAAAATGACAACTTATTCTTAGAGTGTATCCAATCCAACAAGTAAACAGTATGGTTAACTTTCACAGTAAAGAGAGATCACCTTGTATAAGCAGTATTTCTATTAGGCTGCATGCACTCACAAATGGTTACATGAAGGGTTAACCAACTTTACGACCTGTTTATGTACAAATGATGATTAGCTCGGATGATGATGTGTCATTTTTAATACGTCCACATGTACAATTTGACACAGCACTCTCTCTCTCTCTGCACGTTAAAGGAGCAACATGTAAGATGTGTAGAGACTGAAAAAATGTAGGTTAGTTGTGGAAACTGGAAAGGCTCAAAACCTCTGGAGCGACGTCTGTGTTAAGACGTCAAATTTGTTCTTCTTAACATTAAGAATAATATAACGTCTAGACGTCAGAAAATAACCCCTTAACAAGTAAATTTTTTACATCTCAAAGGTCCAATCATTAAGATCTGATAAATGATAAAGTGAACTTACTATATGATCAGACATTAAGGAAACATGCTATGTTGAAGTGCTGGCTTCTCTGACAACAATGCAGCAGCCAGTATGTTCTCCTTCTAACTTTAGATTCTGGTCCTGAATGCTCTGGATTTGTTTTGACCAGAGAAGGTAGGCGGTTTTAAGACACCCCCCACATGGCCGTTTTGGACACCCCTCGGTTTGCCAGATATGAGAGCAGTTATCAGGTCAAACCAACAGGTGTTGCAGCGATGGAAGCAGCAAGAGAACTGGTTCAGATAGAAGTGATTGTACCCGACCTAAAAAGCCTCTGCATGTTTCTAATAAGCTCCACGAGCAGAAACGTGCTCAAACTAGGATCAATATTGGAGATGCTTTTGAAAAATGGAGAGAGGTTAGAACACAGAAAGGTTTACAGACCGATGCAGAGCTGACTAAACACTGAAGCTTCAGTGTCCACCACATGGCAACCTGTGTGAGCATCAACTCTAGAGAGGAGGGGGGGGGGGGGACAGCTCTCTACAATGTCTAGAATTTGGACTGCAGTACCCATTTTAAACACGAGGTGTCACAGTTACATATTGCTCCTTTAAGTAACAACAAAAGAGATGCGGTGCCACATTATACTCATGGATGTTGAAAAATTACTCCAGAGTAACGTTTCCTCTTTATTGTTGACATTCAGAATATTCTTTGTATTTTAACTTCTCCACTCAGATGAAAGCAGCACAACTGACGTCCATGTACATACAGACATAAAATCCATGTTTTTACTTTTAGCTGTAACAGTGGTTATTAGCAGTGTAATTACAGTCTCCATCCATTCACACACACAGGTCTCTCCTCACACATAAACTAACCCCTCTGCCTCAGTTACCAGCTTTCTTACCAACTGTGCCGACTTCTCAGCATCTCCTCTCCGCCCTTTCTTCTCATTTTTCTTACGGAAGATCTCCTGAAGCTGAAACAAGAGATCAAACCGTAAACTCAAAGTTCAGCGTGAAGTTTAAAAGTTTAAACTCACACAACCATTCGCTCATCGGGGCAACATGGTCTTTGATGACTTTGTCAAAGTCATGAAGAGAGTGTCGGTTTGCCAGTTTGGCATTTGAAGGGACCTATCGTTTTAGGGCAGCACCATTTTTTTAAATAATATAATAATTTTAATAAATGACATATGTCGTTTTAACATCTGCACTCCTGAAAATATCGAGATAATGTCAGGGAATAAACTTTTTCATAATTTTTTTCACAGGGAATAAACGTCAACACCCCCTCCCACTCACTCCAGGTGAATTCTCCTGATTATATCCTGCTGCGTTCTCACATCAGCTCACTCTGACTTTCTGCAGGATAAATACGAGGAGGCTGGAGGAGAAACTCAGAAAAAAAGTCAGAGAGAAACATTCAGCTGTTTGTGTTCACACATGACGCTAAGCCTGGAAATATTAGGAGTTTTTTGCAGGCGTGAAAGCCTTACTTGTAGTCTCTTTCTGCTACAAGCAAAGTCATGAAAACAAGATAATCAAGATGAAATGATTACTGTTATTTTGAAATGATTCTGTTATAAGTGTTCATAGATATATGAACTATCGTACACTATATATACAGCACGATAGTAAACACTTCATTATAGGAGTTTATATCCTGGAACAGTACAAGAGTTTTGATGAGCAGCAGTCAACGTGCAGGTCTATCTAAACTAAGAAATTCACTGAAAAATAAAATGATGGGATAGATTTTCTCTCAGGATCAGAGACTCACCACCATGAACTCCCTCTTGTCCACCATCTGGTTGCCGTCCGCATCAAACATATTGAAGGCAATCTTAAAGCCAGCGTGGGGTTCTGGAGAACAGAGAGGAGAGCACATAGGGTGAGTGTGTGTGTGTGTGTATGTGTGTGTGTGTGTGTGTGTGTGTGTGTGTGTGTGTGTGTGTGTGTGTGTGTGTGTGTGTGTGTGTGTGTGTGTGTGTGTGTGTGTGTGTGTGTGTGTGCGCGCGTTGAGCGATTTCTAAATCCAGAAATAGCATTGTGAAAAAGGGGCATAGGCGAAACATGTGGGAGACGAGGCAGATGAATCCATATGGAATACAAGCTACAGCTGATATTGGATTTTTCTGCACCATTCAACCTGATTCTTATCGATCGTGTGAAGCTGGTGATCCTTCAAAATGAGTTTCAGCTTGGTCAAATTAATATGAAAATACCAGAACAGAGACGTTTGCTGCAGAGAGCTACAAAACTAAAACTGTCCACATAGAGGTAGAGTCGGTCGTCTCTCAGACGGAAGGTCGGGGGTCGATCCCCAGCTCCTGCAGCCACATGAGTGATGGCTCTTAACCCAAAGTTGCTCTACACCTGGAAATTGGACCCTCAAGTAGACGAGTCAGATTAGCTCCTCATTTGACATTGTTGTTGACAAAGCTGGTATCAGAAGCCACGCCCCTTCTTGATTTTGATTGGTCAGTGAGGAGGGAGTAACATCAACCAGCTTCTGCCCTCTGAGTCTGCCTTCTCACCGTAAACAATAGGACATGGAGCGAGAAAGCCAGAGACATCCAAGCCCTTCCAGAGAGGGGGTGGTCAGACACAGCTCATTTACATATTTAAAGGTACAGACACAGAAACAGCCTGTTCTGAGCAGGGTTGAAATAGAGGGGTTTATATTAGAGACTTATTTACACTGGTTGACGATGAGGAGAATGTGAGACCTTTAAATGCGCAGTATGTAGATTTCACCACCAGGGGGATCTCAATTAAAACAATAACATAAGATGACGTCGAGTCGACCGTAGTCATGACGACCGGGTGAAACCGACCTGAGGAAGAGAATATGTTTACAGACGAGCTAATGTATCCAAGTATAATCTACATGACGTTTTAATCACGGCAGCACATACAGCAACAGTACGGCAGCTTTCAGCAGCAGCACGCAGCTTTCAGCAGCAGCTCACGCCTTCTTAAACGTAACATCTGGTGTTTCCACGGCAACGATTAACATGCGGTGTCTGTCATGGCGAAGGCCAAAACAAGGCAAGGCCGGTTAAAACTCTAAAATGAAGGATTTCTCTGGCTAACTGTTTAGAAGTGTTAAATTCTATTTTTTCTGTATTTAAAAAAGAGCGCTTAGCAGAAGGGAAACAGTAACTCCAGGGTAAACAGAGGCAGACCTGGTCAACATTTAGGAAACTATTCAGAGTCTAATAAGAAAATGAATGTGACTTGACTGATACGGCAGTAAGCCTCACATTCCTGTCTCCGTTTAAGTTTTCAGAGTTTAAGTGGAGGTAGTCTTCTCTTTAACGTCTGTGTTACCCCAAGGGGAAGGGGAAACCCAGCAGTCATAATTGCCTCTTGTTAAGTTCTGGGTGGGCCGAAGTTTAGTTTCTATCATGTACCTCAGCTAACCTTGTTCTTCTGAAATACGCGCCGCAAAACTGCGAAACGAGAAAGTGAAACGAGAAATCAAGAAGAAGAAGAGAGTAAAACATGAAGTGAAGGAGGCTGCGAGGAGAGAGACTCACTTGTCAGGATGCAGAGCAGGAACAGGTACTCTGTGTACGAGATGATGCCTGTAATAAAACCAAGACACAGGGAGTTAAAGAAAAGGTCACATTCAACACACACACACACACACACACACAGTGTTTACAGATGTTCAAAGAGCGTGGGCCTCCTGACACACACTCACACACATAATCCTTCCTTTCATGAAGATAGCATCTTAAAATGTGTCTTCTCGAGCCGAGCCGCCAAGAGCCATTTGGCCACACACCGTTTCTTTTTCTACACCCCGAGTGTCCAAAGTAAAGACCCTGGCTGGTGGGACAGTGTGTGTGTGTGTGTGTGTGTGTGTGTGTGTGTGTGTGTGTGTGTGTCTCTGTGTTTGGATAAGCAAGTGAAAAATGTTTCAGGAGATGATCCTTTCTTGCCTCAGGCCCATTTAGGAATCTTTGTAGCTCCATCTCATCCCTCTCTCCCTCTGTTTCGCTTTCTGTCTGATCGCTTAGATAGTTCAGGGTGACTCGCTTGAGTGTTACGGGAGACTGCTTTCTCATGCATGTGTGTGTGTGTGTGTGTGTGTGTGTGTGTGTGTGTGTGTGTGTGTGTGTGTGAAGGTGAACATGACACCAGTCAAGGCCTGTGTGAGTTTTTGTGTTTTCATGATGCTCGACTGTTTTGTGTCGAGGAGCTGGTTTGGAACTCTTCTGCATGTAGCCCGAGCTGTGCAAACACCAGGAGATACACTCTGACACGTCTCGGGTTTCTCAAATACATTCACCATGTTTACACTCACCAAGTCTCAGTGATCAACGCTTCATAACGAGCTGGATTCACAGATTTCAACACACATGTTAACGTGGGAGAAACTCTGTACGAGACCAGCTGTGGGATACTTCAGTTTGTGTTTCACTCCTTCATGATAAGAACTTTTAAGAAGTAGTGTTGTCACAATAAGAGATTATTAAACGTGTACAATTCAAATCAAACAATATTGACACCTGTTCTTATATCACCATGGCAACAAAAATACAAGTACTACTGTAGGTCCACCCGATATGAGGTTGAGTCTCATTTACATTGACAAAAAATGCTGGAAGACTCTTGAGTTTGAACCAACGTTTGGTTATAAATACTTTCATGGTATTTTGTCCCTTCAGGCTCACCGTAGATAGTCGTCCTCAGTGTCTCTCTGTAGTCTCAGTGATGTAAAAGAAGGACACTGCTGCATCGTTAAATGTCACATTTCACTTTAACAAACTCGCAGACAGCTCAGCTGACGAGTCCAAAGTAATATTCACCTGATGACATCACACATTGACCTCATGACATCACACATTGACCTTTGTTACCATTCATTTGAGCTGTTTGACATCAGTTTGGGATCCCTAACCACTTCCTGTTTCTGTGCTTAACTTCCTGTCCTAACCTTCCATCTACCAGATAGGCCTTACTGTATTTCAGAATAAAAGCACGGCTGAATTCAAACAGGAAGGAAAGTAACCACAGTTTAATACCCTAGTAAGATGTTAGCTTAATGCATAGCGACATTTTTTATTTGAACATTTATTAACACCTATGTTAAGGCAGCGTAATCATAAAGCAACACAGGCAGCAGCAAGGATCAAGCTACTTAGCCTACAACCCACACACACACACAAACACACACACACACACACACACACACACACACACACACACACACACACACACACACACACACACACACACACACACACACACACACACACACACACACACACACACACACAGCCACACACAGCCACACACACACACACACACACACACACACACACTACAGACACACACACAGAAGCACACACACACACACACAGTCAACATTGTTCTGGCAGCTCCGTGCATTCCTTTGTCATTCTCAGAAATCCTAAGTCATCCCAAGGATTTTAACTGTCCTCGCTCATCATGGCATGAAGAGACGAGCATGTACTGACATCAGCAGACACACAAACACACACACACACACGCACACACACACACACACACACACACACACTCACACACACACAGAAAACTGTGAATAAACTTGTAAAAGAGGAAATGAGAGGTTTGGAGGAAATATAAACGAAAAGGTATATTAGAGAGGGATTGACGAGTGTGTGTGTGTGTGTGTGTGTGTGTGTGTGTGTGTGTGTGTGGTCTTGGCAATATTCCAACAATACTTTGAACAGACCTGCAGTGTATATAAATACAATGTCTTCTTCGTCTTGAAGACTCAGTAAAGGTTTACAATCGTTCTCTCTTTTGTCTCTTATACAAAGTTATTCCCTTTCACACTTCTTTGGCCGTATTTGTACGATCCAACGAGCACGGTGTAAAGCCCATGGTGCAACGTGTAGGGCGTGTCCAACGACTTTCTGGTCGAGATAGACTGTTACTCAGTGGTAGAGTTGATCGTCAATTTAGTGCTGATTAAAATGTTCTGATTTAATATGAGGAGAGGAGAGGAAGAAGGAGAGGAGAGGACAAGACAGGACAGGCAGGAGAGGAAGGAGGAGATGAGAGGAGAGGAGAGGAAAGAAGAGGAAAGAAGAGGAAAGAAGAGGAGAGGAAAGGAGAGGAGGAGATTTTTATTTTTAGTTCTTTCAGCAGGTTGTTTGGCTCTAAGGAAGGACAGCATGACTCCAACCCCGGATTAGAGACACCTACAGTGACACACACACACACACACACACACGCACACGCACACGCACACGCTCACAAGCACTGTGTAGTCACACATAAGCAGGTACGCTGTGGAGCTGAGAGAGTAACCTAAAGTGTTTGCATTTATGTTAGTGTTTGCTATTATACCTGCTTTTTTTTAGCTTATAGGTGTGTGTGTGTGTGCACTCTCTCACCTCGTTCTCTCAGGTTGCGGAACAGTTTGGAGGATCCTCTCCATACGGGCGGAGTATCTGTCAAAATCTTCTCCAGCTCCTGATGAGCATGCACAAAAACACAACATTTTAAAATGACTCGTTCGACGTGCATCACACAACAACAAATATACAAAGCATGAGAGGGAGAGAGAGATGGATAGAGAGAGAGAGAGAGAGAGAGGACAACATGCCATGAAGATGCAGGAGGAAAACATTTTCCTAGAAACTATCGATTGGAGCGGCACAAGTCAGATATTCTGCTATTAAATGTAATTCTCTTCGAGGTCGATATCAGCAGATAGAGATGATGAACAGATGCATCCCTAGCTTGAAGCAATAGACTTTTTCGGAACGCAGAAACATCCTCATAGTTCTAGGAACGGTTGGAAACCATCCTCTTTTTTTTTATTCATTCCACACCACAGGAACTATGAACTATTTTAGTTTGTTGAACTGGGTTAAGAGGAACCTTTTGAGCTCCTGCTTCAGAGTTAGTACCAAGGCGGTGCAAATGCAGACACAAAATAAAGTTCCCATGCTTTGCAGTATTCAGGGAACTCTCTAATGGATAGTTCATCTTCAACAAGGACCCAGAACTGTTTGGTCCGAAAACACTGCATGTTTAATTAGGAGGTTCCCCTTTTGTTTGTATATTGCGCTATATCAGCGTTCATCGCTAACAGATGGGGGACGATTCAAATCAATGGGACAAAATAAATACAGCAGTTCTCAAATGTTTTCACCAGCAGAGGGTGCTATTTACTTTTGGCCTCTGTTGTTTGAAGTCAGGAGCAGAACAGGAAGACAGTACAGACACGGCAGTATCAAGTGAAGATGTTGAGATGGAGAGTGCGTCTTGTTTCAAAGCGAGGATTTAGAAGCAAAGTGAGGACAAAAGCTGTGTGCAAATATTGGAAAATGAAACAGAGGAACGACAAAAAACAGCACAACATACGTGATGCATGACACTACGGTAGGAAGATGAAGACACCAAAACATATTAAAAACATAAAGATGAACCCTCTCCCCTCGTAAATCACTACATGCAGCAAGGGTTTAAGGATTGCTCTCACTTCCCTTCTTCACCTACATTACTTCTCCTTTCCTGCCCCTTGATTGGTTGCACTCTGTCACTCGTTGGTTACATTGAATTCACCCAATCACTCCTTTTTGAAAGTCTGCACTCCCTTGAACTCACTCTATTGACCTTCAGCACTGATGTTTGAAATCTCCCATGTGTGTGTTTTTGTTTCCCCCTTACACTGAACCTTTGTCTTGAATTTGAAAAACTAAACCTTTAAACCACTTAGCTGAGGCCACGCCTGCGCAGGCTCTTTGAAGTGTCACAGTTTCCTGTTTTCTTTCAGAGTTCTCCAGGTAGCAAAATCAGATTTCTCACTATCAGGATGAGGCCTTATCTCTGTTTTTGAAATCAGGATATGCGATAATATTCTAACGCTACATGTAAAACTGCTGCTACACACAGAACAGCCTCTGATCATGTGCTGCAAAGTCCAGATTTGACTGTGCAGGGTTTACAAGGACTGCTACAGATGTAACATGCAACAGATGCCAGCCACAGAGGCATTAAGAGTGTGTCTCCCACCTGTTTGGTCAGGGACCTCCAGGGCCTCTTGTCTGCCGGGAACGAGACAAAAGAGGAGAGAAGAAGAAGAAGGAGGAGGGGAAGAGAAGAAGAGAGTTTGGGTGGGCTCGGTCAGATAGCATCTGTATGATCTAGGAACGGGTCTTAATGTGCTTGGTACTGTCACAACAGGCACACACACACACACACACACACACACACACACACACACACACACACACACACACACACACACACACACACACTGTATATACACTGTCATCATCACAGGCCCATTTGTAGCGTCTAAAGTGCCCTGTGCTCGTCTTTGTAGTTTGTGGAATGTCCCCGTAAAAGCAGATACTACTTTTGTTCTGTTTTATACAACAAAGTTCATCTAATTCAACTTCAAAGAAGGCATCAGAGGATGTCGGCCGCTGAGAGGTTATGTGCTGCTGTATCGTGTGTCAGTGAGCCGGGGCAGATGTAAACACACACATACAGGTGCACGGTTTGCACGCACCTATCACCCATTAGCTGCAGGAGAGAACAGTGCGTGCACAGGTGTTTTTGATCATTTCAACCTTTGAGAACAATTCAAACCACTTAAAGGGAATAATTCCTAAAGTGTCGGGTTAGGATGGTTTAATCGTTGAGAGAAAGCATAAATGGACGCTGGACGAGTCACAAAGTGTATCAGGTGTGTGTCTTTGTGTGTGTGTGTGTGTGACTAACATTAACCTCAGACTAAACAATAGTTGAGAGCCATCTGCTATGAGGCCGGCCAGGACTAATCTGTTACTACTGGCAGCAGGCTGACAGAAACAGCAGAGACCTGTTCAGACTCAGGATTTCTAAGTGTTCTAAGACTTTGTTTCAGTAAAAAAAAAAAAAAGAGAGAAGATTTACCTCACACCTCAATCTATGTCATTATTGGAATGTCAATTTTAGATCACAGCTTTGCTTCAAAAACTAGAAATACACAATACAGTGAGAGGTCCTTTTTGTGCCTTACTTCTTGGTTCGCTCATGGTGACCGACTCGATGAAGTTCTGTGGGGTCATGTACAGCTGCCCGTCGTACTCCACAGAGCTGAACGTGCGGAAGCGATGCTCGTGGGACGACATGTACACGTCCCCATCCTCAAAGTCAAAGGGACGAGCCTGCAGACAGAAAAATGCAAAACATAAAAGAAATGTTATTCACTTTGAGGAAATGTAGAATCATGTAAAATATTGTTTAGGTAATATGAGATTTAAGATGAACAAAGCAGCCTTCTGATTACCTCTGCACAGTCAGTAAAAAGAGCAATCAGTGAGATGTGTAGTGAGTGAAATGATAAAGTGACCTTACTATATGATCAGACATTAAGGAAACATGCTATGTTGAAGTGCTGGCTTCTCTGACAACAATGCAGCAGCCAGTATGTCCTCCTTCTAACTTTAGATTCTGGTCCTGAATGCTCTGGATTTGTTTGGACCAGAGAAGGTAGGCAGTTTTAAGGCGACCACCACATGGCCGTTTTGGACGCCCCTCGGTTTGCCAGATATGAGAGCAGTTATCAGGTCAAACCAACAGGTGTTGCAGCGATGGAAGCGGGCAAGAGAACTGGTTCAGATAGAAGTGATTGTACCCGACCTAAAAAGCCTCTGCATGTTTCTAATAAGCTCCACGAGCAGAAACGTGCTCAAACTAGGATCAATATTGGAGATGCTTTTGAAAAATGGAGAGAGGTTAGAACACAGAAAGGTTTACAGACCGATGCAGAGCTGGCTAAACACTGAAGCTTCAGTGTCCACCACATGGCAACCTGTGTGAGCATCGACTCTAGAGAGGAGGGGGGGAGAGACAGCTCTCTACAATGATTAGAATCTGGACTGATAAAGATAAAGATAAAGATAAAGAAAAACTTTATTGATCCCCTATGGGAGAAATTTTTGTATTAAAGCAGCTCAAGAAAACAGGAAAAAGGGAAAAATTATTAAAAATAAAAATAAAAATCAAACATATGTACATCAGTTAAATAACGGTAGAGAGAAAAACAATAATAGAATAATACCAGGTATGTGCATTTCCACTTGTGGAAAGACTTATGATTAAAAAACACACACAGTGTGTAGCATGAGGTGGTGATGCTGTTAAAGAGTCTGATTAAACAGTCTGACGGCAGATGGGATGAACGACCTGCGGTAGCGCTCTGTCTTACAGGGTGGGTGTCTCAGTCTGCTGCTGAAGGAGCTGCTCAGGGCCCCCACAGTGTCATGCAGGGGGTGAGAGGGGTTGTCCATGATGAATGTCAGCTTCACTAACATCCTCCTCTCACCCACCTCCTCTACAGAGTCCAGAGGACAGTCCAAGACAGAACTGGCCCTCCTGACCAGTCTGTTCAGTCTCTTCCTGTCTCTCTCTGTGCTCCCTCCTCCCCAGCAGACCACTGCATAGAAAAGTGCAGACGCCACCACAGTGTCATAAAAAAGTCCTGAGCAGAGTCCTGCATACTCCAAAGGACCTCAGTTGCCTCAGCAGTACCCATTTTAAACGCTAGGGGTCAGAGTTACATATTGCTCCTTTGGGAAATATATATCTACATATTTTAATCACTTTTTACCTTTATAGACTGAGAGACGTATCACAGGAATACTCACTGTGGGGTTCACTTGGATGTTCTTTTGAACGTGACTCTCCCAGCTGTGGCTTTCTGCACAGAGACAGTGTCTTGCCTCTCGTACTGAATCTCAACTTGAATTGCCTCTTCACTGCTTTTGAACCTCAGTAATGAGGAAACCCATCTATTCTTGGCTTCAACTCTCTCCATTTAGCTCTCAGAGATTATAAACAGTAAGCACCTCTGGCGCAGGGCTATAACGGGAGAACAGGGGCACACGCGAACACGAACACACACACACACACACACACACACACACACACACACACACACACACACACACACACACACACACACACACACACACACACACACACACACACACACACACACACACACACATACTTTGTCACTTACTTTCTACTTAATTAGCATCTCTCCCATCTCTCTCTCCTTTTTCTCTCGCTCTCTCTGTAAGGAGCCAGGGCTTCATCTTGATTAGCTGCAGTGAAGGAAAGCTGCTACGCCAACAGATTGTGCTGCATGGAGCGGCGTAATTAGCAGAGAGGTTTCCAAATTTAAACCTGTTTGGCTGCAGGGCCCAGTGCGCCGAGGCTCCCGCTCAGCTCAGCTAACATGCTAATGAGCGCACAGACTCATTCATAAAGCTTTGATGCTGCCTCCACCGAGGGGGCTTTTGAAGGCATGAATAGGAGATGAGCACTCGGCTTCATAGGAATGCACTGTAATCAAGTGCACGAGCAAAGACGCCCATGGCTTCGGCTGACGCTAATGAATTAAGTTTATGAAGTTCTGCAAAGGCAGCTCTGTGCACACACATGCTGTACAACATGATGGAGAAAGGAATGCAACGTCTTGGTATACAAAGTAATGAAATAGAGAAGATGTAAAATGACCGTGTGGTACACTTGTGTTCTTGTATAGTTGCAATGCCATGTTATCTACCTGCTACGACTGAATTTGTGTTTGTCGCCTGCTTATGTTGTCATGACTGCAGAACAGATGTTGTAGTGATCTCCTCTCAGGCAGCCGGGTGTTTGCCAGAGGGGCGACCCAATATGGTCGAGTACTCGTCGATTCGTTGGCCAGAGCCTCGGCCGCCTGCCAGACTCACAAGGATCGTTCCATTCCAGATTTATGGGGGATGTTTAATGTCTAATTTTACACAGATTTGTCTGTTTTCTCCAAATAATTCATGGCTCAGAGCTTATCTTGGTATAAATATCCCTCAAACCAAACTTACTTTAAATCCCTCTCCTTAGTGTGTGCATGAAGATATCCCCCCCAAGTATTGATAGAAGCAGCATATCCATGTTTAGAGAATTTTATTGGCTGCAAGAGATGCCAGTCATGGGCACAGTCACATATAATTGCCCGTCAGAATAGGGGCAGGCACCTCCTTTCAACTCAGGCTCCGAATGGCTGTTATGAGATGTCATCAAAACGTCAGTGAAACAGCAGAGGTCAATATGAAGCAGTCTGTGGATCTTCATGGATGTCATGTGATCAAAACTTTCACTGGATTTAAATCATTGCGACCCATGTTTGTAGGATTATTAGGATCAGGAGAGTTCAGTAAATTTTTAAATGGTTAAAAGACGTTGTTTGTTTGTCGGCGAAAACATCGTGGTTTTGGTTGAAATATGATTGTAGATTTGACGGTTTTTATAAATTGGAGATTTAATTTATATATGTTTCCCTGCAGGTGAGTTTTCACAATCTTTAAACCTTATTCTTCAGAATTATTTCAGGATAAATTAACAGAGTAACAGATGGCTGTTTTTCCTTTTCCCACTGGAATAATCCTGTTCCTGAGTTGAGTGGCCATCGCTCTTCCTTTGGGGCTCCTGTGCTTAAAACTGGCAACAAATGCTCCCCTTATCGCAGCGTCCCGACAATCAACTCTTCCATCCAACATTACATTTACGAAGCAACATTATACTTAACACCACTGATAGGATTTCTAACCACGAGTTCTGATTAACCAATGCCATCAGTTCATTTAAATGTTCCTGAAAGAACAGCTGTTATTTCAGTGTCCCAGATACATATTTAAGTAACGTTGCATATCCCTTTAAAGGAAGTTCAGTGTGCTCATATGGACCAGTTTAACACAAGTACACTCAGCAGATATCCAAAGTAAGTCAAGTTTGATTGTGAGCCCAAGAAAAATAACTTCAATCAGGACGTTTCTACTGATCATAATAGGCTCATATCTGCTCGCCTTCTCATGGAGGTCAAGTAAATGCAATTCAAAAACAGTGAAATCTGCAGAGCAAGAATCAGGATCAAACAGAGTAAGGATCAGTAAAACATTTCAAAGTGACCTACAGGATTTACTTAGTTAAATGGATCCCTGTGTTAGTTCAGGCGGAATATGTTTGCCCTGACCACAAGCGGCCATCAGCTGATCTGAGAACCGCCCCGATTCTAACCAATCATCACCACACTCTGACAACAAGGCGGTCTATTTAAACCATTCTGCCTCTCACTCCTCCTGCATCACATCCACTCTGCTGCTAGACTCTGCTGTGCAATTCTCCCTCCACCACCCCGACCTCCAGCAGCTTCAGTCAGCGCATTTTATACTCTAGGATGAATCACTTGCCTGTTATGTATGTAAGATGTCGATATCATTTCATGCACATTCAGGTTCTGTTCTGCATGAATTAAAGGGGACATATTATGAAAAATCCACTTCTACAGTGTTTCTGAACGTAACCTGAGTGTCTACTGACCCAAAAAATTTGAAATAAACCCATCCAGTCCTTTGTTTGTGGTCTTACAACACAGAGAAAAATGCTCTGTTTCTAATCTACTTTCCTTGTGATGTCACAGTAGGATTCTGGTAAAAAGAAAAAAAATCCCCTCCCCTCCCCTGGTATCTCCATCCATGGACTCCACCCCCAGCCTAGAACAAAACTTTTGAGCAGGTTGGCCATTTTTATTCTCTCTACAGAGGAGTGATGTCTACGGGGAAAACTCAGGGGGGGCTCATTGCATTTAAAGAGACACACACACCAAAACGGAGCGTTCTGAGAGAGCTGGTTTATACAGGGTCACAAACCTCTGGTGCTTGATTCATGTTATATTTTGACCAAAGCACAGCACAGATGTTTCATTTAGACCACAGGGGACTGTTTGAAAAGGTGGAGAAGGGGGATGATATGTCACCTTTAAATGCGCTCTCAGCAAGATCTTAGGAATGCTGCACTGACACTGCTGAGAGCTAAGAGCAGAACCAATACCGCCAAATACAACTGTACAAACCACAAGTGCAATAAATTGTTGAATCCATGACCAGAATTCCTGACTGAAATCTTTGTATTTCTGAGTCTGAAAAGGAGTGACGCAAAATGATGATTTTTGCATCACTGGAAGCTGTTGTGGTTAGCGGGGTGAAACTACAACGCTAGTTCCTCATATTTTCAACCACTGAAGCTACAGACCAATCACAAATCATTGGTTGGGAACTCACTCCCAGAATCAAAACTTAACGTCCGCCATATTGCTTGGAAGCTATGCTAACAGGCTCTATGGAGAAAGCTGATAATGGCGAAAAAATATACATATAGCGGCGAGACGGCTGCTGCTTCAGCCGCTGCCCGCCGGGGCCGCCGCTGACCACTGGCCGCAGCAGCCGAGAAACAAAACCGGTCTGTCGGCAGCAACTATCTCGGGGCTATATCGCTATATTGCTGGCCGCCTGCCTGTTCGAGGACGAGGAGCCGGGGCGGACTGGTAGTGTCGGTGCTCTCACTGTTTGCCTATGGACACAGACATAGAGTCTGTTTTCTGCCAGGAATTTCCAAGATGCTTATTCCTTCTGGAAGAAATCTCGGAATCAGTTGTGTAAACGGCCGTATGTGGCCTGCGGTGCTGTGCATTCTGGGATTTGGTGTCTCACATCCACCTGAGCCAAAAAGACACTTTCTGCCTTTTCTCGGCCAAGAAGGCACAAACTTCAACATTTATTTCACATTTCTACATCTATGTATATGACCCAATGTCAATACAGATTCATGTTTCAACGGGTGAAGTATCCCTTTAATCTGACTGATATTAATATGAGGCTGTGATAGAGCTGGAATTGTTATGATCTATGATCACCTTTCTCTCCTTCTTTCTTCTCTGTGAGAAACTCTTCATCCTTAGATCTTTACTTTAGGAGCTCTCTTAATGGCTAAGATGCTTTGTGAATAACTTTTATCTTTACCAGGATCTAGTCTTTAACTTTAAGGGGAAATTTAGCTGCAGCATGTTCCAGCTCCTCCAGCTGTCTGTCACTGTGGCTGAAACTTTTCTCCCTTCTGTTTTCGTCATGTTGTGCTGTCACTCTCGACTCTTCTGGTGATGTTTTTCTTTGAATGCTGATTTAAGCTCGGCTTTTGTCGGGATCTGATGGTTTTAAAAAACGTTTAACCAAACGTGTTTTTTATTAGAAAAAACCTGCGCTAAGATCTGTGTGCAAGTGTACATTTTGAGAGTAGGGAGGTACAGCATTGATGCCGTCGGCTGCCTTTCAACTGTGACACACATGCATGCGAACGAGTGCTTATGATACGTTGATGCTGTAGCGTTTATTAGCGTAACGTTTAAAAAAAATGACTTACAAAACACTGGTATGACAGGAAAGCGCTGTGAAATTGAAAACGTGTTACTGTCTTTTTTTTTTCAGGCAGTATTTGAACTGGCCGGAGCTGAACGTGCAATCAGCTGGCCCGGACTCTGTCAATCATTCATCTGGGCCAGCAGGCCAGTTATAATGTCAAGCCCTGATCTCTCTCGACAGCTTAAATTGGCAACATATCCTTTGCAATGTAGTTGGTGACAGCATTTTTTAATTTCTTGCCATCTGTTGCTCTTCTTGCTGAGTGACTAAAGTTTGCTGAGTGTGTTTTTGTTAAGCTAATGCCTGAGATACTCAGGCGTGGTCGTCTGCTTGTCCCAAAGCTTTTCATATTTTTAATATTCTGTGCCCTGGTTCATATGTAGATTATGAAACAAGTAATGTTGAGTTGTCTTCAACGACAGCCACTATGCTAGTTTAGCTGCTTGTGTTTTCAACATGCATGCAAAGAAGTATGTCATACTGGGCTCGATCATATGCAGTGAATGTGTGTTTTGACTGTTTTTAGCAAAGTGATTGACATACTCAATATTGTCATTTCATCCAAATCCCTAAAACATGCGTGTGAAGTTTCTTGTTCTAAATACACTCTGATCCTGTATTTGATCATGCCTATAAATCCCTCTATTTCAGCCCTGCTCAGAACAGGCTGTTTCTGTGTCTGTACCTTTAAATATGTAAATGAACTGTCTGTCTGACCACGCCCCCTCTCTGGAAGGGCTCGGGTGTCTCGGTCTTTCTCGCTCCATGTCCTATTGTTTACGGAGAGAAGGCAGACTCAGAGGGCAGAACAAACACCTAGCTGTGGGAGTGTCACCCACCTGGGGGAGGGGTTACTGCCCTTTGTGATGTCATGAAGGGAAATTTCCAAACAGCCTGTTTGAGCACATATTCACTGAAAGGTGGAGCAGGTAAAAGATGGAGAGGATGGACTTTTCTCATCATTGGGGGGTTTGTAGACAGACTAGAGACACATATTAGAGTTAGAGGAACATGGTGAAGTGGATTTTTCAGAATATGTGACCTTTAAGGGAGTAGGGATTGTTATGAAATTAATTTTAATTGTAACTAGCCAACAGACTAAAGGCTGAGACAACTACATCGTGATGCACTTTGAGCCAACTATTTCTTATTCCTTAGCAGTGTTGGGGTTAAGAAGCAATGTACTAGTGTAGGCCTACTAACTCTGGTGTAACAAGTTGCATAATGCTTTGGTTTTGCAATTCAAATCAGTTGTTTTTCAGAAGTGGGTATACGATACATATACCCTGTGCAGACTGAAAAATTAGTGGGTTTACTCCGTGCACTCCACCACTGAGTGCAGTGAGTGGTGGGCAGATGTGGGCACACAGCTGTTGTCATTTCAGCACCAGCTCGAGCGGAGAGCGCCGTTCCTGCATCTGCGCGCGCACATCGTCCCGCAGTGAAGCCAAACAGTGAGCGAACAGTTTCCACTGAAAGTGCTGGGAATGAATGACACACTTTATCCACCCGACAGGAAAAACATTTTAAACTGAGAGCCCAACCTTGGCTGGGAAACAGAAGCAGGCCTTACGGTGTCATTTCGCTGGTTTAAAGTCGTCTCCTCTCCGCTGTTTTTCACACCGAGGCCAACACTTAAGACCACACTTTTTCCATCTTTGTGTCACTAAATCCTCCTTAATACCGGTAACAACACACAGCCACGGGTTATCTCAGCCTCCTACCTTCTCTTTGGCTTCTACAGTCGGGATGGAGGGCAGTAGCCCGCTGATGCTGGGACTCCTCATCCTCTTCCTGCCTCTGGCGACGGTCGTCAAATCGTTGTAGAAGTAAAGAGCCACCGCGCCTCCCGTTGCGAGACACATACCGACAGCCAGACACTTCCGTGCTCTCCCTCCAGCGGCAGCCTGACCACCGACCAGCTCGGTTCTCGTCGCCGTCAGGAGGTTCATTTTCCCCGCCAGCGCAGCCACCCTGCGGAAAGCGGCCATTGCTGCTGTTTTGGTTGCTGCTGCTGCTGTCGCTGCTGTGCTTGCTGCTATGGTTAACTTTGCAGGCAGCACTAAGCTATCGCGGTTCTTGATGTCATCGCGAGATTTACTTGCAGCGCTGATTCTGACCTGACAGTAGTCCAACACACATTGGCTGTAGCCTACCCTCTAAGAGCTCAGCTATTCTTTCTAGGGTCCACATAATATATATATATATATATATTACAGGAATATATAAATGTACATTTGGAAACATTATTTTAGTCACTACAGTCCACACAAACCGTCACACTTAGAAGAGGGCATTAAAATATACAAACACAAAACATGCGCTTTTATTTTGAAATAAAGTAAGGCCTATCTGGTAGATGGAAGGTTAGGACATGAAGTTAAGCACAGAAAAAGGAAGTGGTTAGGGATCCCAAACTGATGTCAAACAGCTCAAATGAATGGTAACAAAGGTCAATGTGTGATGTCATAAGGTCAATGTGTGATGTCATATGGTGGATATTACTTTGGACTCGTCAGCTGAGCTGTCTGCGAGTTTGTTAAAGTGAAATGAGACATTCAAAGATGCAGCAGTGTCCTTCTTTTACATCACTAAGACGACAGGGAGACACTGAGGACGACTATCTACGGTGAGCCTTGAGGGACAAAATAACATGAGCTTAATCATTATTAAAAAATGAATGCATCAATTCATATTTCTAATTTTTATGGCTCTTTTTCTGATGAATGAAGGTTGGTTCTGATTTAGTTTTGTATGTGTTCCTCACAATTCAACACTCAAACTCTAGATCTGACCTATAGGACAAATTACAATAAAGAAATCCAGTTAATAGAATTAAAAAAGTAACAGTAAGGGGGAAATCTGTCTGTTTACTCAAATATCTTAGAGGAAGCAAACTTCATGCTCCATCCAGACCAAGCAGCAACAATCATGAAAAAATGAAACCAATGCAGAAGTGCAAAATCCTGCAGCTCCTCAAGTATCCACTAGAGGCTGGCTGCAGAAGCACAGGAAGTCACATACACACCCATTCTAAAAAGCCTGTTTTTACAGCAGAGATTAACATGTTTACAGCCTGGTTCAAAAAACCAAATAGGTATGATTAGCTCATGACTCGATTGACACACATTGTACGGGGGGTGAATGTTTTGATGACTCATCAGTTTTGATTTGATGAAGGATAAGAGTTATTCACAATAAGGTGTGTAGCTGACCTGATTGACAGGTGGGCGCGGTGAAACGGTTTTTTAGGAGGTTTGAAACCCGCCTCAGCTCCAGCTCTCAGTCTGTCATTAGGTTGACTGAATGTTAGACTGAGACAGCATTTCCAGCATGGAGACCGCCATCGATGGGATTCCAGTGCCCCCTGCAGGAACAGACGGGCGACGTCACTCAGGCTTCGTCCAGTATATTTACAGTCTATAATCCAGACGTTACGTTACTTTATCTGTTTATTTTTTATTATTATTTTATTGTCACGGCGACACTGTCTCTTTAGTTCACATGAGATTAGAGCGATGGCCGACGTAACCAGTCGTAACTAGCGCTGGTGCTAACGTTGCTAACTGGACTTTTTACATGCTCACACATACATACACAATTACTCTCCCACTATGTTGATGAGCAGAGACGCCTGATTGGACAACTTTGTAAAATGAAATGGTCATTGCAGAGGGATGCCGAGAACATTTTAGCATGTCAACGACATTGTTCTTGACCCTGCATGCTGACAGAAGGAACAATGCGTTTTCATGTGGACGAAGATGTTCTTGAGAACTGAGCGTGTGTGGACGGGATTCTTTTTCAAACAGAAGAGGAAAACATCAGTTTAAAAAAAAATTCGGCCTACCTGTGGAAGAGGCCTAAGCCTAGCAGTTTTTCCCAGTCAGTGTTTTTTTTTTCCGTATTACCTCTGCATGCCCTTTGACCCTCTCCTCTGCTTGATCCTCTGGATTTGTTTGCTCGTGTTTTTGGACTGCCTGCGTATTGAACCCTATGGTGTCTTGCAATTGAATCTTTTTTTTGAGTGTGTAAACTATTAATGAACTTGAAAAATATCTCTGTTCACATGGAGCAAATGAAAAGTGACCCATGATGTAAACATCTGTCGATCTTCTTCCTTTCTTTGAGGGTCAGTGTGCTATCACATTTCCAGTGAGAAGGATGCAGGGCGCAGGTTCAAAGCAGCCAAATGGAGAGCAGATATCAAACGAATATCAAAGATGAACTCTTCATTTAAGTCTTTACATGTAGGACTAATGTTAACCTGATGGGGCTTTTCCTCATGACTTTGATGCTGTGAGAATAAAGGAGAGGAGTCTAACACATGAGCCTGTCACCTGTTCACACATGAAGCACGCTGGATCACTGTGACCCATAAGCTCTGTTTAAACCAGAAAATTGAAAACAGATCAAACACTGAATATCAAAAACCTCCTGGTAGAAATAACCTCTTTAATGGGCTGATTATAACGCTGTGAAGCCTTTAATGTCTCCTTTTGATTTGGATTGTGCTCATAATCCAAAATAAATTGGACTACCCTGATGATGATTCTCTGATTGTCTCTGAGAGTCTCACATCTCATTTAACACCTCGGATGACTCGATAGTGACTGCTCCACTATTCATTTTATCATATTGGCATGTAACAGAGCTCCAGGTAGCTCCGCCTGATGTTCTGTGGGACTCTTGTGCTGCTGCTTTCTGCCTGTTTTTTACGTCAATTTTTTAGTTGCTTTTGTTGTGACTTTGTTGTGTTTTATGCCGATCTTGTGCAATTTGATTAATGTGCAAAATATGTTGTTGTGTTCCTCTGTTTACGTGTGTTTTTTTCTATAGTTTTTTATTGATTGATTCTCGTGGAAGCAGCTGAAAGTGTGCAGCACTTTGAGTCAATGACGGCTTTCTCCAAACGTATCGTACATAATATCTTATATCTTATCACATGGTATTGTATTGTATTGTATGATTTTTTGCCCCTGTTTTATGTAACCCGGCCGCGCGTTTACTGCACCAGCACAGACACAAACACACACACACAGCCGTACACACGCACCCACACACACCTGTGCAAACGACATAACTTGACTGTCAATCCCTTCATTATTGTATCGTTTATTGTGTCATAATGGTATCCTATCGTTCCTTTCATCGTATCTTATAGTATTGTATATCGCATATCGTAACATATATTGTATCATATCGTACATCATATATCCTAACGTACATAATATCGTACATTGTACGTACAGCATAACGTACATCATAACGTACATCGTATCGAACATCATAACGTACATCGTATCGTACATCGTATCGTACATCATAATGTACATCGTATTGTATAACGTATCGTACATCATAATGTACATCGTATCGTACAACGTATTGTACATCGTATTGTACATTGTATCGTACAACGTATCATACATCGTATTGTACATCGTATTGTACAACGTATCGTACATCGTATTGTATATCATAATGTACATCATAATGTACATCGTATCGTACATCATAATGTACATCGTATCGTACAACGTATCGTACATCGTATCGTACATCGTATCGTACATCGTATCGTACAACGTATCGTACATCGTATTGTATATCATAACGTACATCGTATCGTACATTGTAGCATACATTGTATCGTACAATGTATCGTATTGTATATCATAACGTACATTGTATTGTACATCGTATTCTATATCATAATGTACATCGTATCGTACATCATAATGTACATTGTATCGTACAACGTATCGTACATCGTATCGTACATTGTATCGTACAGCGTATCGTAGATTGTATTGTACAACGTATCGTACATCGTATCCAACATCGTATCCTACATTGTATCGTACATTCTATCTTATGGTTTAGCGTATCATATCAAATCTCTGATTGGATCAACATTAACATCAACATCAACATTGATTGATTTGATACGTGGTCTCTCGAGTCCTGCTTTCATGGACCCCTGGAGTTCCCTGGACCTCAGTTTGGAAACCACTTGCATTAATGACCTCCAGGCTACTTATTCAGTTATTCCATTATCCAGGCATTCGATTGGGTTGTAATTTCTTTGTGCGTGTGTGTGTGTGTGTGTGTGTGTGTGTGTGTGTGTGTGTGTGTGTGTGTGTGTGTGTGTGGTGTGTGTGTGTGGTGTGGTGAGGGGTGGGGGCTTTAACCCTTGGGGCCTACATGACTCTAATGGGGGCTACATGCTTGGCTTCTCTCGATAACAAACAGAGCTGTAAACCTGGAGAAAATTCACTTTAAATGAAACCGTGGGACTCTATGGGAACTCCTCACTGCAGCTTGAGCCCATGTTTGTAAATGTGCCATTGTGGTCGACACCTTCATTGTGTGGTGGGTCGATATCCAATATATCAGATCTGATCAGCCTGAAGGCGATTCCGATCGATCGTGTCTCCTTTAAGAAAGTTTTTTTTTTTTTTGTTGAATTAATTAATGAAGCACAGGGCAGAGGCAGTGGGACACCACACACACAAAGGTAAAAATAAAATGATATAAACGCAGCTCTTCTATAAGGCCTCTCTTCTCCTCTCCTGTCATGTTGTAGAAACTGATATAAGTCGGTCTAAAAAAATGACCTGCGGTGGAGTGACCACACACGCGCATACACGCGCACAAACACCTCTGCTCCTTCAACTCATTTATCAAGGCAGCTCCCAAGGGAGGGGGCAGCTGTGCACGAGCGCAGGTCTGTATAGATGCCAAAATCAATGCCATATAGGCTGGAACATGGCCTCTCGTGCCACTGTTTGGATCAAACCACATGAATGCAGTTTGACCCTTTAAGTCCTGCAACACAGATAAGAAGGAAATTAAGCTATATAGGTGTGATTAAGCCTTCTAAAGCATTGTTTTCATGCACCTAAATTACTGTAGGGCTGGGAAATTAATGGATTTTGAATTTCAATTACAATTTTGTCTTCCCACGATCATGAAAACCAGATCATGGAGATGAATCGATCACTTAGCTGCATGCCGTCTCGAGACCTCTTTTTGAAGCTCTCGTCTCTGAATAGAATGCATTTTTACTCGGTCTTGTCTCGGTCTCAGACTGAGAGGACTCCGGATTTTTAATCAAGAAGCGGTCAAGACCACCACTGACAGGCTATTTTCCACATCATTCCTGTGATTAGAAGGAAAACACCTCTTTTTAAAAGAGCAAAAAACTTCAATTCATGACCACCACCTTCCCGCTGTTACAGTCTAAGTAAGTGACACACCCACTGCATACAAGATGATGATTTTCAGTGATTTTTCAGGTCTTAGTCTTGTCTCTGTCTCGCCCTGCTTTGGTCTTGGTCCTGACTCGTTCTCGATCCCTAAATGTCCCATTTATTTTATGTTTTACTAATTTTATCACCGTCTTTCCTGTTTTACTCTCTCAGGATTTTAACTATTGTTGACAATTTCTGTTTTACTTCCTGTCTGTCATCTTTCGGAAGCACTTTGAGGTGCATGTTTTTATTTAAAGGAAGACTGTGCAACATGTTTCACATACAGAAAATATATCAGAATGACGTCTATCCTGTGTAAATGTGTCTCTGACTCATGACTGTCTACAATGAGTGAGAAGCTCGAGTCCCGCTGGCTGTGTTGTTGTGAGAGCCGTGTTTACATGGACGGGACGGCCGGCTCCTCCCTTGTGTATAAAAGCTGTTTTAGTCAAGGACTAGAGAGAAGAACATCACTGATTATTTGGATGTTAGTAAGAGTTTTTAGATCACGCTCATTCTGTGTCAATTTATATGAAATGTGAAGCTACGAGCTAACTAAAGAGTGCTAACATTAGCATGCTAACACAACAACGCAGGACACAGGTGATTGCAGCTCGAGCTAAGGACAATTTTGTCCACCACTTGTGTGTCTCTCTGGAGGACAGCGGAGGCTTCAGTATGGAGGAGAAGTGGCCAAACAGCAGTTTGCTTTGGTTTCATGCTGGTGCTCAAGGGCGATTGGATCAAAAAGTCACACACTTCTTCCTTTAAGAAAGGTTTTACATTACGTTGAGTTCAGAACATTCACATCCCCTGCATGTGTAACTCACTTTGTGAACCAATTCTGCATAAATTATTGGCAGACTAAAGTTGAATTAAGCATCAACATGCTGTGCAAAGGTAAACAACAACAACAACTCAACACAAAGTGTTCACTGTTTCCACCTATCACATGCAAATATGAAAGGTTCATAGCATTGGGAATCCCCTCATTTATTCTTATAAAAGCATAATTAAGCATAAACATTAAGTGACCCATAGCTCACGTGATGGTAACTTATGTTCAAAGTGGTGATCAATAAAAAGCTGTATATGCATAACAAAGTGTGTCTGTTTAAAGAAGAATTAACAGCTACTTGAAGCCCTTTAAGAGTCAAGTGTCGGGTATTATCCCAGCTTGGAGTTCAAACAGGTATATTCCCTTCTTCTGGTTGTTTTTACCTGATCCCCTTACAAGATCCCTCCGCTTTGAAGCATCTGTGTCTTTGATTCGTCTTTTTAAGACCACAATTAAGGATATCTAGGGCTGTGGGCTCCCCGAACTGTTCAAAGCATCGCGGGAAGATCAATGAAGGGATTGACAGTCAAGTGATGTCGTTTGCACAGGTGTGTGTGGGTGCGTGTGTACGGCTGTGTGTGTGTGTGTGTGTGTGTGTGTGTGTGTGTGTGTGTGTGTGTGTGTGTGTTTGTGTCTGTGCTGGTGCAGTAAACGCGCGGCTGGGTTACATAAAACAGGGGCAATAAATCAACAGCCGAGTGCGAAAATTACGCAAATGGGGGCTTTCCTCTCTCTCTGTGTCTCTGCAGCCGCCCCTGAGTCATTTGGGGATGGGGGCGTTCAGGGAATAACAACACTTTCACGATGTTTGACATACACACACTCTCACTTTCTTTATGTCCACTGCACACACAAGTTGAGTTACGCACTCCCCCACGACTCACTCTCTCACCTACAGCAACTGGCCACAGCTGAAGTGCCCACGAGCAATTAGCCAATGGCATATCTCATGTATGTGAGCTCATAAGCGCAGCGTTTCTGCAGGGAGAGGCAAGGGGAATTCCGCCTCTTGGACTCATTTTTATTAGCAGTTTTTCATCCCTTCCCTAAGTCCCTGCGCTCCCTGCACTGACACTGAACATCAAAGATGAGGCAGAGCACGACGAGCAGAGGGATGAAGGCGCACGTTCAAACGGGAGCAGAAATGAGCCATAAAGGCGGAAGATCTGCGTGCATTTGCATAAAAAGGCAACTCAGGGTGAATTTCCATATGGGGGGGGGTTGCTTTATATAGATGTGGAGTGCTGTGTAAAACTGGCTTATGTGCTACACACAACTGCTGGAGAAGAAGCAGGCAGAGGAGGGTACCGCAGGAATAAACAGGCTGAAGTGAACTGTGGAGAGAGAGAGAGAGAGAGAGAGAGAGAGAGAGAGAGAGAAAAACCCTAAAGTGCTCCGGAGCAAAGGGGAGTATCCCGAGGTGAAGAGGAGAGAGAGGGAGCGCGCAGAGAGCAGGATAGAGAGAGAGAGAGAGAGAGAGAGAGAGAGAGAGAGAGAGGGTTAAATAGCAGTGAGAGAGGAGGAGAAGGGGACACGGGCTGCTGCAAGCGGAGGTACCTGCACACATCGAGACATAAGGAGAGTTTGATCTCAATCAGGTGTCGATTTAATTAACGGTGCCGGTGACTGCGCAAAACCGCGCACGAATTGGGCTTTTTCTCCGCCCGCACGTCCAACTTTTCTGTTTCTCCGCTTCACGACTCGCACTGAGACATTCTGTTCATCACTTGGATCCCGATCTGGAGCTGCTGTAAACCGGATCTGTTTTTTGATTTTATTTTCTGTGATGGGGGCAGCAGCGGACGTTGGGAGCTTCGTCAACGGATTTCTGGACAGCTTCGGTCCCGCTGGTGCCGCGCCGGCTCCCGTTGGCTCTCATTTCGTGCTCACCCCAGCCGGGGCGGTGGACTACAACTCTGTGGGCGGACTGATGATGGGGGGACAGGGGCAGCAGCAGGAGCACCTGGTGTCCGCGGAGAGGCTGTCCCGGAGCCTGGCAGACCTCAGCCATCTGAAGGGGATCCTGAGGCGGAGGCAGCTCTACTGCAGGACCGGGTTCCACCTGGAGATCCGTCCCGACGGCACCGTGCAGGGCACCAGGAAGGACCACAGCAGATTCGGTATGGACCCTTTCAGGATTAAATTTACAGTAATTATTATTTATCAGACTCCTTCCTTGTGTGATGATCTAGTATATCAGCAGCAGGACAGGAATCCTCACAGTGAGAGAACAGACACGTTTGTTTTTAAGTCTCTTTAGTTATTGCTAAATGTGACTTTTAGATGTAAAGACTTAAAAACTGTTTTTTTTTTTTTAATAGCCAAAACTGACAGCAGTGGTCACTGGCGTAGATGTGGGGGGAAGTGGGACAGACGACCCAGGGCCCTGTTGAGTCTGAAATGAACGTATAGCCTCTTTTTAATTCGTTTCTCCAAATCATAACTGTCCGAAGAAAGGTTTTAAAAGTGGTTGAATAAATTATTATGATTCTTAAATATTTTCTTTACTCTTAAAATCCTAAAAAATACAATTATTAAAAACATTTTAATGCTTGGAAACGAATGGAAAACCAAAAAGGTAACAAAGGTTAATTTATATTTTTAAATTAAAACTGCCCTGAGGGCCGGGGCTTTTTATGCCTTTATCAGAGAGACAGGACAGCGGACAGTCAGGGAGCGAGAGAGACAGAGAGAGAGACAGAGAGAGAGAGAGAGAGAGAGAGAGAGAGAGAGCTGGGAATGACATGCAAGAAAGGAGCCATTTGAACCTCAGGTCGACCGCTTGGAGGACTTCATGGGGAGCTTGCACTAATCACTACAGCTTCAGGAACCCCAACTTTGTCGTTTTTTAAAGTAGTCATGATACCAGAATTTTCTACTTCAGTACTAGACAAATTCAATCGATACCGACACCTGATTCGATACTACAGCAACAAAATAGAAGTTTCAGACACCCAATATTGGACATTTTCTTCTCCTCAATGATCAAAAAATGCAAGCACTCTCCTGCACACATGGCTACTTTGCAAATAATTCAGCGACATCCTGTGAAGTAGAATCTTTTTGATTCAATATATCCTCAAAAAACCCCTCTGGTATACATTTTGATCACCTTATTTTGAAGCTTTTCCATTGGTCATTTGTTTAATGGAGGAGGTGTAATAGAAAACTCACAGGGCTGACTGAGGCCGTGGTGGAGAGGCCCAACGTGAGATCTTGTCATGGGGCCCAGAAGTCCTGGAGACGCCCTAATGGTTCCTTCATGTGGACATAAAGCAGCATCCTCCTCTTCACAGGGGGGACCCACTTTATATAATCATGGAAACATAAAAATATCATTAGACCCATGCTGCTCAACAGGAGTTACTATATGACCGCAAGTCCTGTTGATAAAATTCTCCTGCTCCAACTGAACCTGCAGCTTTCATCCTGCAGCCAGATTCATCAAATCTATTTTTGCAGGACTACGGAAGCCCTAAGTGGACATGCATCATTAAATATCATTGCACACATATCTGTTGCTTTCGTCATGTCAGACGTTTGTCTGAGAAATTACCACATTATCGTTGAAAAACCAGCCTTGTTATCCGAACAGCCGACAGCTAGACAGATAAGTCCAAATCTCAAGAAAACTGATAGCCTCGTGGTTATGTCGCATGCCCCATGTACGGAGGATTTAGTCCTCATCGCAGCGGCCTTGCATTTGAATCCGACCTCGGCCCTTTGCTGCATGTCGTCTCCCACTCTCTCTTATGATCATTTCCTGTCTCTCTCCAAACGCCCGACATCCTGTCATCAAGGAAGATGGGCAAAATAAAAAAGTACAACTGTGCGTATGTCCACTTCAGGCTTCCGTACAAGGGGGACATGATTTAGAGGATTTATTCCATTTCAGACTTAACGGCGAGCTGTTTGTGCAATTTAGACAGTGGAGTGAGAAATTAGTTTGCTTGGATTTTTTGGTAATTAAAAACAAGAAAATTATTAAATATTGGATACCTAGGACTTGTATTTCTGTTGCTGTGGTAACAAAACAGGTATCGATATCGGTGGTATAGCAGTTTCTAATTCTGGAAATCCTGAAAACTGCAGGAACACTTTAGTGTCACAGTCTAACCTCTCAAATTGCTTTGATGTAGCTCATATAGCACATATATGTCCATTTTCCCCTCAAAAAAATAAAGCATACTGTAACAGCACATAGAGGAAAAACCTTAACGCTCATCTTTCTTTCTTTGAGTTATCATACAAGCCTATATGAATTAACAATGTGGTGTAATAACTGTGTGTTAATATGTGTTTTCAGGTATTCTGGAGTTCATCAGTCTGGCTGTAGGACTGGTCAGCATCAGAGGGGTGGACAGTGGCCTCTACCTCGCCATGAACAACAAGGGAGAACTGTACGGATCGGTAAGTACGCCTAAACCCAGTCGGTCTGATCCAGTTTTTAACATATGTGTGTGTAGCACACAGCTTCCAGCAGGCCTGGACTCATTTTCTCTCCTTGTCTTCCCGCAGGAGAAGCTGTCTGCAGAATCTGTTTTCAGGGAGCAATTTGAGGAGAACTGGTACAACACCTACTCGTCCAACATCTACCGGCATGGAGAAAAAGGCGCTTTTTACTTCGTTGCTCTGAACAAAGATGGGACATCCCGGGACGGAACAAGGTCGAGGAGACACCAGAGGTTCACCCACTTCCTGCCGAGGCCTGTCGACCCTGAGAGGGTACCAGAACTTTACAGAGACATCCTGGGCCAGAGCTGAGACTAAAGGGGAGAAAACCATGACCCCTGTCAAAGCCAGTATGAGCTGAAAAAGCAACGCAAGTGCACATTAAACGACCCCTTCTCTGTGAGAGGGGAGATCTTGTTAGTCTAGAGGAAACAAGATCATAAAAAGTGCATCAAATCACTCCCCGACTCTGACATGGAGGAGGGAAAGGGACCCGCTCTGAAGCAGACTAAGCGTGGAGTTTTACTTAACGGCACCAGGGATCATCTGGGGAAGATTTGAAGACCTCATGATGGACGGATGGAGTCGCTACCTTGCCCCTAGTATTGCCCCTCTATTGGCCTATGCAGAGGCCATGGCGGCCAACAGATTATTTACTTATTTTTAAATTGAGTCCAAACACCTGCGAGCCCAAAGTGCATGAAGAGGACAAAAGTGTGGGAACTAATAAGTGAGATTAGAAATAGACTGCTGAGTCATTTCCACTGATTTTGTCTGGGCTTTTAATATTATTTAAAAAAACGCTGCTAAGTAAATGGTTTATTAAAAATGCATTATCATCCATACAGAGTGGCTGGTTTACACAAAAAGGTAGTTTTTATGCACTGGAAGGCGGCCATGTCTGTTTGGGGAAAACAGGTGTGAGGGGGGAAATCTGGACCGGCTGACAGATTAAAACTGAAACTGCTCCAAAGGCAAAATGTGACTTTTCGACAAAGTGCATGAGGAACAAGAGAAGAAGAAGTTTTTCTTCTGTGGTGGAATACTGCACATTCTGTTTGAACTCCAGAGACGCGTCCTTAAACCCTGTGAAGGAATTTCCTGCTGACTGCAGTCAGAACGACGAGAGCGACGCCCCGGTCAGAGACGCCTTTACGCACCTGTGGACAGATTTTATTCTAATTTATGAGCTTCTGTTTGCAAGGATATATGACTATATTTATTTCATATATTTATTTATTTTTGAGAATATATTTTTACAGGTATGAGATAAAATAAAAAGGATATTCTAAACAGACCAATGACAGATTTGTATCATTTGTTGTGTCGTGATGAAACGCTGTTTTCCATTCTTACTGTCAGAAGAGGTTTATATTCAGACTTTGTATCTCCTGCAATGTGCTTTAAAATCGTGTCATATTTACTACAATCACACGGCTGCCAAGGAATCAGTTAATTAAACTCACTTTCATCATTAGTGATGTCAGCCTAGGACACATGTTGAGTAGCGTTGAGAGATGTGTAGCTCAAAACGCTCCTTATTTATCTGATACTGGCGCCAATAAACTCCCTAATGTCAGCCTCTGCCAGAAACGTTTAATTTCAGCTACTGTCTCTTTAAGGCCCCCCCCCCATGTGCCAACATTCCTCTGATTGGCCAGCTCTGTTAGCAGACCCAGTGGCAACCTCCAGTGATGAAAAATGAAACCCGAGGCTGAAGTGCAAAATCCTGCAGTTCCTTGAGTGTCCACTAGAGGCTGGCTGCCGAAGCACAGGAAGTCACATACACACCCATTCTAAAAAGCCTGTTTTTACAGCAGAGATTAACATGTTTACAAAAACCAAATAGGTCTGATTAGCTCATGTCTCGATCGACACACACTGTACTGGGGGTGAATGTTTTGATGACTCATCAGTTTTGATTTGATGAAGGATAAGAGTTATTCACAATAAGGTGTGTAGCTGACCTGATTGACAGGCGGGTGCGGTGTAACGGTTTGTCAGGAGGTTTAAAACCTGCCTCAGCTCCAGCTCTCAGCCTGTCGTTAGGTTGACTGAAAGTTAGACTGAGACAGCATTTCCAGCATGGAGACCGCCATCGATGGGAATCCAGCGCCCCCTGCAGGAACAGACGGGGACGTCACTCAGGCTTCAAACATTCACATTTAGAGTCTGTGGTCAAACATGTAGTACTGAGTAAGGCAAAATTGACATCTTAGCATCAGTCTTGTCTCGCCTCCGGAGACGACCCCCTCATGTCTGTCAGGGAAGGAAGTTATTCCTTCTGTGAGGTGCATGTGTGAACAAGGGGCTCAGGAAGATTTGCAGGTGAATCCTGATCACGAGTGCATGTGCAGAAACAGTTTTATATCACGACCTCTTCCTGTTGGCACTTTCACGATGACAGAATACGGTATGAAAATGTGCTTAAGAATATGTAAAACAAGGGAGAATAGAGAGAGAGGGAAAGAATGGCAAATGGTAAGGAGTATGGCTCAGCTAATAGAGATATGACAGAGAGATGGGAGTAATGGGAAACGAGGAGAAACATAACATGAAGTCATCTGTGTGAAGAGACAGCACACGCTTCCTCTGACAGACACTGCAATTACACAAGTGACTGGCAGGCTGAGTGCACCGCTACACTCTTTCATCCTTTTCTTCATCATCCCTTTATCTCTCTCTTCATCCCGCCTGTCATGGTGAGTCATCTCATGTTGTTACGACACCTGAGACTGATTTGACCAGGTGTCACTCAAGCAAAAGGGGAGAAAACAAACGATTTACTGGGGCAGGGGCTGAAATCCACAAAAGGGTTGTTTTTCACAAAAATAACACCTGAAAAATTAGAACTCTTTGGAAAACTGTTAAAGGTCTGATCAGTAAGATGTGTAGTGAGTGAAATGATAAAGTGACCTTACTATATGATCAGACATTAAGGAAACATGCTATGTTGAAGTGCTGGCTTCTCTGACAACAATGCAGCAGCCAGTATGTCCTCCTTCCAACTTTAGATTCTGGTCCTGAATGATCTGGATTTATTTGAACCAGAGAAGGTAGGCGGTTTTAAGACACCCCACCACACGACCGTTTTGGACGCCCCTCGGTTTGCCAGATATGAGAGCAGTTATCAGGTCAAACCAACAGGTGTTGCAGCGATGGAAGCGGGCAAGAGAACTGGTTCAGATAGAAGTGATTGTACCCGACCTAAAAAGCCTCTGCATGTTTCTAATAAGCTCCATGAGCAGAAACGTGCTCAAACTAGGATCAATATTGGAGATGCTTTTGAAAAAGAGGTTTACAGACCGACCCACGTTTACCAATGTGCTCGCAGCTGCAGCAGGAGTGAGCAGAGAGCATCGTGCTGGCCTGACCTAATATTCTTATTTAACCAAAGATATCTGTTCAGAGGGCCAGGCTGTGTGCGAAACAAAAAGGGGACTTTCACAATGGAACGGCAGGTGCTAAAGCCCTTTTATTTTTGCCTGTGTGCACTTCCCTGACTTTGAGTAATAAAAGAACTGAAAGCTTCACAAGACTGGAAAAAGTTATAAAGGGGGTCGGGGCCTACAATAGTCGATCCCACGATCACTGCAGTCACTTCACTTTCCAGGCAGGACCTCAAGGATGAACTAACGCTGCACCTGAGCTAAAAATCGTTTAAGCAGTCACTGTGTGTGTGTTTATCATTTTCTCTTAATTCAAATGTTTAAGGCTGCTGTGAAAGTGGAGAGAAACACTAGACAGCATAATTCAGTTACCGGAGCTCAGTAACTTGTCAATCTCGTAAATTACTTGGGCACACCTTAATCCCTTTTTGCAAGGGACTAGAATTACCTGGGGGACCTTGTAGGAATTTAACCTCCTGTAATGTGTCGTAACCTTTGTTCTACTTAGCAAAGGCTAAGTGCCCTCACAGACTCCATATGAGCGAGGTACAAAGCACCACAGGACTCCACAGGACCCGTGTGTACAAGGGATGTCCAAAACCAGACTGACCTTCCATAGGACGCTCCGCCAGCCTCAACATCTGGCCAGTGTTCTAGAGGAAACTCCCCTTCTGTCAGATTTGTCCTGAATTGTTTTATGTCCCCAGCTGCATTTCACATCAAGGGCGATGTTGCCATGTTCAGGTCGCTGCCAGCACGAAGGCTCATCTGCTCGCCAACATGTTTCAGATAAGATTACAGAGCACTGCGTTTCACATCTGGCCAGTTGTACCTGCAGGAGCACGGTTACATTGTGTCTAGTTGGGACAAGGTTGAGTGTGCGTGTAAGCCAACGATAAGGGTACACAGTGTAGGATGTGGTGGAAAGAACATCAGACGGACATCGCCTGAGTACCAGCATGTGATCGAAACTCAAAGTGTGTGTAAGATACAGAGAGAGAGACAGAGAGAGAGAGAGAGAGAGAGAGAGAGAGAAAGGGAGAGAGAGAGAGAGAGAGAGAAAAAGAGAGAGAGAAAGAGAGAGAGAGCGCGAGGTCTGACTTTAAGGTGTGTAAGAAACAGGTGGGTTTCTGAGAAGAGTATTAAAAAAAATCTGTATGTGGGTTCTGAGTGTTGTCGGCCTGTCAGGTTACAATCTCTCTTTGAAGTGTGTGTGTGTGTGTGTGTGTGTGTGTGTGTGTGTGTGTGTGTGTGAGAGAGAGTTTGCACGGGGAGGGGAGGCATGTTTATGTGAGTCAAAGTGACTGCGTAGATTCATGTCAGCACAACTTCTGTATGTGCGCGTGTGTGTGTGCGTCTGTGTGTGTACATCTGTGTGTGTGTGTGATCTGTGAATCTGTGTGAAGGTGAGCCAGGGGTTCTCCTGACTAGAGGGCTGTCTGACTGATGTGTGAAGACTCATGTGTTGGTCTGTGTGTGTGTGTGTGTGTGTGTGTAGTGTCCTGCCTCCACCCCCTCTCTTCCCTCTCTGTCCTCCGTGGGGTTTTCCATCGACTGGTTAGATCTCTGTTAGATCCAGCAGCTAATGTACCATGCAGAAATAACCTGAGCAAAATATGTAGAAATGAGGATAAAGTACGCGACGATAATCTAAAGACTTTATTGCCTTATGTTTAACATAAATGAATCATATGGATTTTCAGCTTCTAATTCAAATTTACAAGAAGTATCATTCCCCTGAAATATCCTGAATCAATAATTAAATGATGATGATGATGTCACGCTGTCAAAGACAAAGAGTCGGACCCGAGTGCAGAGAACGACTTATTAACAAAAAGGCAAAAAACTAAATGTTACCTGAGAGAGTTTAAGTTCAAAACAAAGTCCATCAAAGGTCCAAAATCCAAATCAAAAGAGAAATAACAAGGAGCCACATGGAAACTACTGGAATCACTCGGAGATAAGACGTATGAACGGACACAGAAGGGAAGGAACACAGAGACTAAACAGACACAGGTGAAGACAATCAGGGCAATCAAAAATGGAGGGAAACACACAGAGGCAGGAAGAAACACGAGCCATGATACACTACAAAATAAAACAGATACACTACAAAATGAAACACTGAACTTCAGAGCGTTACAGTTAGAGACACACAAGGGGAACAGGAACACAAGGAGGTGTGAAATGACAAAATAAAACAGGAAATGAAATCCGCAAAAGGGCAATTTTACAAAAAAAAAAGAACACTCAAAAAGACTCATAAATTACAACTGTTTGTAATCCTGTTACAGGTCCAATCAGTAAGATGTGTAGTTAGTGAAATGATAAAGTGACCTTACTATATGATCAGACATTAAGGAAACATGCTATGTTGAAGTGCTGGCTTCTCTGACAACAATGCAGCAGCCAGTATGTCCTCCTTCTAACTTTAGATTCTGGTCCTGAATGCTCTGGATTTGTTTGGACCAGAGAAGGTAGGCGGTTTTAAGGCACCCCCTCACGGCCGTTTTGGACGCCCCTCACTTTGTCAGATATGAGAGCAGTTATCAGGTCAAACCAACAGGTGTTGCAGCGATGGAAGCAGCAAGAGAACTGGTTCAGATAGAAGTGATTGTACTCGACCTAAAAAACCTCTGCATGTTTCTAATAAGCTCCACGTGCAGAAACGTGCTCAAACTAGGATCAATATTGGAGATGCTTTTGAAAAATGGAGAGAGGTTAGAACACAGAAAGGTTTACAGACCGATG